GGGTCACCACGACGCTGCAGCTCCTTGACCCACGACTTGGCACCAGTAAACGAGTCCTAAACATTTAAATACATGTAAGTATAATCCTGTGACAAGTCTCACAGAAGCATGACCTACCTTGTTGGTCACGTCGTACACGACAATAGCAGCGGCGGCGCCGCGGTAATACATCGGTGCTAAGCTGCGGTATCGCTCTGCAGTAGATGACATACAGCAGCCACAAGTTAGCACGCTAGAGCATCGTCATGCCAGAGTGCAGTTAATATTTGCCTTGTCCTGCGGTATCCCAGATCTCAAACTTGACCGTCAATCCGTCTTCAAGACCGACCGTCTGTGTAAGGAAAGCAGCTAGAAATCATCAACAGATGCACAAACAAGAATTAGGAAAATCTACATCATCCATCAACCCACACAAGCATGAGTAGATCACTAAGCCGTCGTCTGAGTCAAGATTACAGGCTGGTGAACCCATGTTGGCGTCGTACCTCCAATCGTAGGCTCTTGGAACTCGAAGAACTCGTCGCGCACGAACCGCACGACCAGACAAGACTTTCCTACGGCCGTGTCGCCTAGCAGCACCAGCTTAAAATGGCACGTTTTTCCTTGTGACATCCTGTTGCCTTCTCCTTAATAACGTCTTTCTTCTCTCGTCTGCGCCTGCTCGGTGGATTCTCGCTTCTGCTCCGCTGTTGCTACTTCTCGACGCGTAGACGGTCGATCCTAGATTGTATTTCGCAACGGCGGCCGTGTTGCGTGGCTGAATAGGCGAACTGAGAGGCGCTGGACGCTTCCTTCTTCCTTCCTTTTCGCTTTGGTTCTGCTTCTTTTTCTCGCGGGGCACACACGCGGTACTCACAGCGTTTTTGTATGGATCCAGCCGGCTGAGATGGGAGAAAAAAATCCCCCTCCGAAAGTCAATACACATCCGATTTGACGGGATTTGGATCGTGGCATAGTTGCCGTAATACTGAAACGTTAAAAATGTTTTGCACGTCAACGTGACAGAACATACCTAAGTACAGCCTTAAGACCACAATGTAGGAAAAAGAGCAAAAACAAAGTATTGGTCTTCATATTAGCGTCGAGCTGGCTACCGACCGTTTGCATCCGCTGGCTTGATCCACTCTTCGTCGTCCTACGGAATGGGTTTGATCTGGACAAAAAGCAACAACATGAGGAAACAGCTGCGAGTGATAAGGCTGCAGCAGCGCAAGATAAGAACGCACCTTGAAGTGTAGCGTGATCAAAGAGAACACTAGGCACTTGAGGTCCTGCACCAAGTAGTAAAGCACACGCAGGCCTTCCGGGTCCTTGCTGTCCTGCACGTCCAGCAAAGAGCCGATCTTCGCGCACTGCAAAGAAAACCAAACATATTACTATTGTCAACCGCTTTACAAACACAAGCATCAAACTAACACCAAAGCAAACTGCAACGCACCGTAAAGGAAATATGATCGTTGCCCAGTACCACCTCCAGTTCCTGCCGTCCAACGCGGTCCGGCTCGGGCCACTCCTTATCGTCTTCTCTGTTGACACACAGCAGCACAGCCACACGTCAACACTCTACTATCCATAGTAGCACACACATGCCGACGTACTTTGTGATTTCACTATCGCTAATGATCCGCTTCACCTCGTCGATCACTGACTGGGAGACCGTCACTAACACAACAAAACCGACATTGAGAGCATGTTAGCTCGACCGTCTGAGCACGTAGAGTTTCGCCCCAAAGACTGATAGTTAGTCGCAGGTCACCTTCTTTGCGGATCATGGAGTCCTTCTTGTAGTTGGAGTTGTTGGCGTAGCGGAGTTTCCCGTTGGAGCGGAACTCGAACTCCATGAATTCATGACCGAATTTACCGCGGTGGCCGACGCTGCAACGAAACATACAACACGAAGCAACATCAACACAATTAAGTCTCCCATTCAGCCATCTAACCTCGCAGAACGAGCCACTATACGCACTAGTAGCGCACGTAGAAGTCGTCGTCACTGGGCATGATGACTCTAGCCTCTTTGCTTCGCAAAGGTGCTGTTGTAAATATCAACCAATGAGAGTCGGATTCAACAATGTAATTTCAACCAATGGAAATCCTGAACTACATCAATTCCAATAATTGATTTCCCCCGTTGAACGTCCAGGTGTCGGTGAGTTGGGTCGTGTACATGCATCCTGCTGCATCCCGCCCACACGCTGGAGCTCAATATGAAAATTACAGTAAGCTGATGTTAGTCCTGTCGTCTTCCTGCTTTAGTTCACTTAAAAACGACGCAGTGTCGACCTCCGAAGTCGCCGCAAGGGATCATAAATGTCAGCACAAGGAACTCCACTACCTGACAATCTACAGTCTCCTGTTGGGAGAAAGACTAACCCAAAAGCGCCAGCGAAGGTAGCAGGCAAACGACGCGCCGGATCTGGTGCCAATGGCACCACGAAGCGCGCGACACGTCGAGAACTCAAGAAATTGGTAGAAATGGACTTGGAGGAGAAGGACGACGTCCCCACAGGTTGGTCTGCTATGACAAAGCTGCATAGTTCACTATTGCTTATCGAGTTTATTGGCTTATCACTCGCATTCGTGCTGTAAAGCAGCGATCAAGAAGGAAAACACTGCCGCTGTGCCGTTTGGAGTCGATGCAGCTAGTGCGTCAATCACTCCTACGAGTCTTCATGATGATTTCGTGAATATGATGAAGACGCAAGGTCTGGAGAAGATGGCAACCGAGGCGGGTCTATTAAAGAACGGCGCTCTTGTAGAGTCCCAGGTCCCGGCAACTCCGTCCGCTGCTACGACTCCAGCCAGCTCTGGCAGTGGAAGGAAAACGACGTCAGTAGCTTCAACACTCGCAAGCCCGTCGTTTACCAGTCCGTACGTTTACACAGCGTTTTTTTTATCTGGTTATGGTAATTAGTGAAGGGCTCATTGCTGTGTTGTTGCTCTTACAGTTCACCGGGGAAGAAGAGGAAATATTTGAAGATCAACAAGGGTTTGCGCCATTTTAGCATGAAAGTGTGCCAAAAGGTGGAGGAGAAGCACGTTACATCGTACAACGAAGTCGCTGATGAGCTGGTGCGCGAGTTCGTCACGATGCGACCAAATGATGCGGTAAGTCAATACCCAGAAAAGCGACGTTGTCAATGTGCTCACCTCCGTTCCTTCTGCATTTCGTTTAGGTGTACGACGAGAAGAACATCCGTCGACGTGTTTACGATGCGTTGAACGTGCTGATGGCCATGGATATTATTTCAAAAGAACGGAAGGAGATCCGATGGAAAGGACTTCCGTCCAATCTGCAGCATGACACGGAAATGCTTCTGGTTTGTTTCCAGCCACTAGTACACTCAGGTGGGAGCAATATTAACTTGCTTGTATGTGTCTTGTGGCAGGCTGAACGAAATGAACGGATGAAGAGTGTGGAGCAGAAGAAGCAACATCTACAGGATCTATTGGTACAGCAAGTTGCAATGAAGAACCTCCTGAAGCGAAACGCCGATCGCAAGCGTAAGGAGAGCGAGAATCCCACATCTGCCACCATCGTACGCGATGAAGGACGAGTGTTCTTGCCATTTATTGCAGTGAACACTAGCAAAGATACTGTGATTCAGTGCGAGATGTCGGAAGACCGACAGGATATTTTCTTCAACTTCAGTGCACCGTTCGAAATCCACGACGACGCAGATATTTTGCAGAAGCTTAACTTACACAAGGTGCCGTACGCTGAGCTGAAGCAAATGGTGCCCGACAAACTGTTGTCCTATCTCCCTGCCGAGTGTGAGATGAAGAGCGAAGAGTAGAAAGCGATGTTCCAGATAGGTAGGTAGTTTAATACAGTAAGAATTCGTGTTCGTGGAATTTCATCGACACCATTTCAGTTTGGGACTATTTGTTTACTTTGGTTGTTGCGATTGTAAAATATCTACGAAATGAAAAAAAGTTCATCTGTGTTTCTTCGTGTCGGACCCACACCTTGGTGAAAATCCGGTCACGAGCCACTCTGCTGGTTTTAATTACGTTCGTCTTGGGTGCGTGAAAACTAGAGTTCGCTCTTCATGTTTTGCCGGATGCTACCACATCTGCGTACGTTCGCACCTTGGAGCCCGGCACCGTGTGTCGTTCTTCCGCGAGGAAAACCCAGCCTTCCACATCCGCTTCGCGTGTGAACGCCGTTTCCTGGGAAACTTGCTCACCTGGCTTGTCGGACGAGCTGCTCGGCTTGTCGGGGCCGAAGAAGCGGTTCAAAAGAGAGTCCAGCATGGTCGGTCTTTGGTTGTGTGTCGTCGTGGCTTGGCTCGTTGGTTGTGCTTTGTTGCTATTTCTCAATTGAGCGCGTTCTCCGTATTCTGAACTGGCGAATCTCTGGAATCTGGCGCGAACTTCAAAGTGCCAGAAAGAATCTGGGAAAAATGCTCTTCCGCGAGCATAGTGAAATCAAGTCATTCTACGTGTTCAAATTGAAGCGAGAATTCAACCGCAATACCGTTTATGGGATCATTTCACGATTTGACTTCGCCATCAACACCATCAACTTGTACGCCAGACGACCAACGCGTCGCTTGAAAGCGCGAATTGTAGCGTGGGCCGTCTGGTTGCGTACAATCATGGAAAGTGTATGCAGGCGATTCACCTGTAGCTATTAAGGGGTCATTTTCCAGGGAGGTGATTGATCGTGTTTGCACTGCCGCGCCGCGCCACCTTGCTGAGGCGGCAGCATTGGTAACGTATTTCTTTTTAATATATATATATATACGAAGACGTTCTAGGCAGCGTGGTAGTCTATCATTGATAGCCCCCACGAAAAGAAGCTCTTGGTGATTGCATATTTTTTCCGCTCAGGGAATTCTTTTCGTCTGGGCCAGTTTGAGGCGTTAACGAGCGAGAAGTAGAAAAAAGTAGGCGGGATGTCAATTGATAAAGCGACGCTAGCCCAAGATGGCATTACGACCTCTTCGCAAGTTTTGCAACTTGCAACTGCAGCTTTTGGTGCAATAATAACAACCTCTAAATTAGTGTAGAGTTGGTGTGGTCCGCTCTCCCGCCACATTTGGCCAGCACTTGGCGAATCTACGTGAAGAGCTATGGCGTTGGAGACTGCGGACAAGGACGCATCGCCCACTGCGGCGTCAGCAGCAAACGACGAAATCGTCGGTGCGAGCGAAAACTCGAGTCAGAACACTGAGGAATCGACGAAGAACTCCCCAAACACCGAGGACAATGAGATCCAGGAGACTAAGCAGGAGGAGCAGTCTGCAGTTGCCAAGAAGCAAGATGACGTTGAGATGGACAAGGATGATGAGAAGAAGGACGGAAATCTCTCTGAGAAAAAGGAAGAAGACGTGGAGATGGAGATGGAGAAGGCAAAGGACGAGTCGGAGGAGAAGAATGAACCAGTTCCTAAGGACGTGGAGCCAGGTGTAGTGAATACGGACGATAACGAGACGAAGACGGAAGAAGAAGAATCTACTAGTGATAGTGTGGAGAATGTTGCAGCAGATGAGAAGGCTTCGGGGAGTAGCGATGTGGAGATGAAGGAGGCAACTCAGGAAGCCAAGAGTGAGCATAACGATGAGACTGCCTCTCCTACCAAGAAACAGACACCTGCTAAAGCTAACAACTCATCGAAGGTAGAAGACTCTGAGGTGAAGGACTCTACATGTAGTGAATCATCTAGTCCGAAACTCAAGGAAGCAGTACAGAAATCTACTTCTAAGACTAGCAATGGAGTGAATGGATCAGCGGAACCTGCTGCTAAAAAGCAGAAAATGGATCCCAAAACTCCTGAAAAGATGACTGATGCCGCATCAACTAAAGATGCCGGTTCACCGTCTTTGATGCTCTCACGGGATGATATGGCCAAGATGGAGGAGGACAGCGGTCGGTTGAAGTTTGACGTGATCACAAATGATGGTACGGACGAGCACATGATCCAGCTCACGACTCTGAAGAATATTTTTGCGAAACAGCTCCCAAAGATGCCGAAGGAGTACATTGTACGTCTGGTGTTCGATAAGAACCACCGGTCCATGCTCCTTCTCAAGAATGGTACCCATGTTATTGGTGGTATTTGCTACAGGCCGTTCGAGAAGAACCAATTCGCAGAGATTGCGTTCTGTGCCATTAATGCCTCGGACCAAGTGAAAGGATACGGCACACGGCTGATGAATCACTTGAAGGAATATGTCAAGACCAAGAACATCACACACTTCCTCACGTACGCCGACAACTACGCTATTGGCTACTTCAAGAAGCAAGGATTCACGAAGAGTGTCTCGATGGCTCGGCCGAATTGGTATGGCTACATCAAAGACTACGATGGTGGAACTTTGATGGAATGCACAATCCACACCCAGATCAACTATTTAAGGATCACGTCAATGATTCACCAGCAGCGGAAGGTAGCTTCATTTTCTTCATTTTTCAGAGGAGAATTGCGCTAATTATTTCATCTAATGCGCAGGCAATCCAAGACAAGATCCAGGACAGGTCTCGTGCCAAGACGGTGTATCCTGGTCTGACAGCGTTTGCGGAGGGCAGGTTGATGGACATTTACATGGTTCCTGGAGTCAGTAAGTGCTGTTCTCCTCAACTAGGAATGAAGATGCGTGCGCTTTGCTAACAATAATTGTGTTGCTTACAGAGGAGGCTGGGTGGTCGCAGGCAACGATCCGCAATAACCGCATCGGGTGCGTAGACATCGGCATTTACATTAGCGTCAAGATACATTATTACTAAGGTTGTCAATTTTGCTTATGAAGAACTCGCGATCAAGGCAGCCTGAAGTCGCAGCTCTCGCAGTTGCTTAAGGCGGTGTCTAACCATCGGAGTGCGTGGCCTTTCCACGAGCCTGTGGACACCAGCGTCGTGGTTGACTACCTTGACTTCATCAAGGATCCAGTGGACCTCCAGCTCATCAGCAAGCGCATCGACAGCGGAGTCTATATCTCCAAGGCTGCGCTCAAAGCAGATCTGCTTAAGATGTGCGACAACTGCACGCTCTACAATACGCCGGACACCAACTACTACAAGTACGTCGCCGTCAAGCTAGCCTACTCCTGTCATACCGTTAACTAACCATGATTTCATTTGGTGTGTTTTTTCAGGGCCGCTGTCGACCTCAAGGAGTTCATCCAGTCTCGAATTCAGATCAGAGATCACAAGTAGACCCCTGTAGTCTTGTACAGCTCTCTTCTCTGCATTGCTTTGTTCACAATCCAAGCTAAAAGGATCGGCTATACTTCTTGATCTCGTACAGGATCTCCTGCGTCGTAACAATTTCCGAGTTGAACGGAGGAGGGCGCTGGTAGCTCCGCTTGACAATCTCCACAAAGCGCGTGTAGTACAGCAGCAACTGCGTAAGCACCTGCTTAAGAATCTCCATGCCGTTGCGGAAGTTCGAGAAGTACGTCATCACATTGCCGTTCATCTTCTCAATGCCAGCCTTCCACGTCGCTGCAAACTCTCGCACGATCTTCTCTATCTGCGTAGTGTCAACTTGCTGGCTACTTCCCGTCGATTTGCCGAGTGTAACTTGCTCGTGCTGTCGAACAAACTGGATGAGCTTGGCGTAATACGTCATCAGCTCTTCTTCCACGAATTTCTCGCGCTGGGCAGCAAGCAGTTCCTCAAACTTGGACGTCTCCTCTGAAATCACACGTCTCTCCTCGAAGTGTGTGAGCACGAGGTCGTAGTTGTTGATGAGGAACACGCACTTATCCTTCGCGTTGGTGTGCTGCTCGGACAACCGACTCAGTAGGCTCAGGATCTCGTCACGCATCACACTCAAGTTGCTGAGAACCATGTCTCCTGCCCCGTTCTCATGCATCTGTGCGTTAGAGATCGCAGAGTCGTCGCCAGATCTCGACTGACTTTGCTGCGTGTACAGACTCAAGCTGAGGATGGAGGAGGCGAACTCAGCATAGCGACGAATGACAAAGTGAGGGTGCAGGTCGATCGGCCCCAGTTTCTTGGCCTTTGCGTTCTTCACACTCATCAAATTAAGGTCAAACACAGCCTTGAATCGCGGCCACAACAGCAGCGCCACACGATCAAAGTACGCGTCCAAACACGGGATGCGACGCTTCTCCATCACCAGTCTCTGGGCGTACGTGAGGCGTATCATAAGCAGGAGTCCGATGGCATCGTAACACGTAAACAAGTAGTTCTCCATGTTCTCCAGACACAGCGACAGCGTCTTGGCAAATACGCGCATGAACAAGTCACGACTGCGGAACACATTCTCCTGTTGATTGGTGGGCTTGAAGAACTCGATCAGGAACAGATATTCCGAAGTGGCTGAGTCCATCAGATGCTGTTGCACGTTACGAAAGACAGCCTCGTACGGTAGTTTCAACCCTTCTTGCTGAGCAACATGCAGGATCAAAGGTGGCGCCGACGCTGTCTCCAAGATCTTCTCACGCTCAGTGACTGAGAATGTGTCGTTCCTTTTGCTCAAATTCACTCGGTAGCTGAAAATCCCCTTCAGTGACTGCTCATCCAACACAATAACATCCGTCCGAGCTGCTACTTCTTCATGGAATTTCATCAATCCTGTATGGTATGACTTGAATACATTCACCAACGTCTTGCTCATCGCTTCGGCGTACACTTCTCTGAATTCCTCCTCCACTTCCGGCGCGTTATCCGCCAGAAAAGTCACCAGATATTTCATAGGTAGCAACGTATTCTGCTGCACCATTTGCACATTGGTTTTCGGCTTCTTCACCTCGTTCATCTTGGCCAATAAAAACTCTCGAATCCTCGCAATAGCTCTTGCTTTTAACTTCTTCAATTGGGCCTCCACGTCGTTAAAAGCTGCTGTTTGTGATGGTACAAGATCAAAGCTTGAGCCCGACGGGTCCGGGTCGCTTAGTGCTGCGTAGCGGAGCTTCCCATTCAGTGTGACTAGAGCGTGGAGATAGGCCTCATTCACCTCCCCTTCGTCTATAGTTTTAACTAGAGACGGAGCCACCGCTACCTGATCTAGATATGTTTGTAATTTCTCCTCCGTCTCGCGACGATTCTTGAGCTTTACGTTCATCCCAATGGATTCGTCCTGTAGGTGGCGAATCTCGTCACTGATACCGCCCAGATCGGCCTGGAAACCTAGTAACATCTCCTGCATTTTGGCCAATAAATTGTCGCAGTCCTGGACTTCGTCGTGCAGCTCCACGATGTCGGCGGACTTCATGACGTACTGCGCTACCGACGCCGCCTCGGCCGCCCGCAGCTCTTGCTCGATCTGCTGAGCATACTCGCGTAGATCTACGCCCTTGGATAAAGCCTCCTTGATCACACCGTCCTGCTGGAACAGCTCCAGATAGTCGTCCAGCTCGTCGAAGTCGATGTCATCCAGGTTGACGGCCGACTTCTCGACGTCGCTACTCTTTGCCATTTTGGCAAGTTTGGATATTGGTGAAAGTATGTGTTTTTCAGTGTATTTTTTATTGTTTTTTTGGACAAAAATAAATCTCTACAGCAAATGTTCAACAGTGTATTTGCGACCCTTATGGGAAAATCAATTCAAGCTCCAAACCCATGGATCTTGGAGCAATTGGCAAAGCTTCCGAAGGGCAATGCAAAGTCCATCGATGTATTAATCGCAAATTCCCAAATGGAGAAAAAATAAGCTTGCTTGCGATCTCTATCTTCCCCCGAGCTCCGCTCAACTTCGGGGAATCGCGTAGCAAACTCAACACGGTCTCATGTTCTATACTCCCACCATGACTGGCGTCGGATCGATATTGTATCCCAGCACGAGTATGATGAGACCGTAACCGAGAGTGACAATCAATGCCATCGTTACGAGGGAGAAAGTCACACCCACACGCAAGAAATCCTTCACTTCCAAATACGGCTGGCCGTGGTCGTCCAGAACCAGTAGTGAGTTGATGTTCGGGAAGGACGAGAACGGGAGCGCCATAGCTGCAATGCACACATATCGTCTGTTAGCGTGCCATAGCTAGCCTAAAACTATGCAATTCATCCTTACCTGCAGAGATTGCGAGTGCACAGCAGATCACAGGGATGTGAGGGTGTCCGATTTGGATTGCCATTTGCACGATAATTGGCAAGAGGATGATCGAAGCAACTGTGTGCGAGACGAACGTAGTGAGGCAAATCACCATACTGCACAGGGAGACGGTGACCATCCAAACATTTCCGGATGGCAGTGCGTGGATGACCGTCTGACTGAGCGTGTCGAGAAGGCCTGATCGTTGCACAGCCTGGAAGTAATACAGATAAAGAATAAGCAGTTTGGTCATACAAAGTCGTCGTGTAAACAATACAACAGAAACGTACATCTCCTAAAACGTTGCCACCACCGATCAGGAAGAGGATATGCCACGAGAACGAGTTGAAGTCGAATTGGCTGAGCATGCCCGTGCCAAACATGATGAACTGCGATAAAACCAACCAGTTAGAATTTCTCAAGCACGGACACCGCTTAAAAATGCTGCAGGGACTCACCATGAACATCATCGAAATGATACCCAAGTCACCGAATGTGGCACTTGTCACCGAGAATGACGCCCACAAGAAGATGGTCAGAAGCGTCATTGAAACGACAACGACGTGAAGGCTGCTGATCTTTTGCTTCTGGTCGTAGACGATTTGTGGAATATACGTAGCATCACGAGGGTCCATTACCCACAGCAAGAACGCCCAGCACTGTGTGTAAAATAGTAACCAATAAGTAAATAAGGAAGATGGCACATGAAAAAAAAAGGTGCTTACCAAAATCGTGCCGACAGTGCAAAACGGGATAGCCATCGCCATCCATTGACCAAAGGTAACAGTGTATCCAGCCTTCTCCAAAAACGACACGGCCAGCGTGTTCTGTAGTGAAGAAATTGGGGTCATCATTCCTCCCAGGTTGCAAGCGAAGGCCAAGCCGATAAGAAGCGTCTTCACGTAGGTGCTGTCCGTGGGAAAATCCCTGATAATAGGGAGAAGAACCGACACACACAGCACAGGAGCAGTGTGGTTGCTAATCCACATCGACAGGAACAGTCCCATCAGCATAATTGCCAGCAGGAACAGGTTCGGACTCTTCTTGAACCGACGTTGCAAGAAAGCAGCGATGTACAGCTCGATCTGGCATTTAGAGAATGCCGCCGAGATGGAATAACTAAAGATCATAAGTCACATTAGTCTAATGTTCAAAGTTATGCCATAAAATATCATAAAACGCACCCGCCCATGATTAGGATAGTGGTGTGGTTGACCAACATGGACATCACTTCCTTAGCGGATTGCTCTGCGGACAACCAGAAAAGTTATTAGGTATGTTAATACCAGTTGGTTATAGCAATCCAGTAAGCTATAACACATTTAGGCACGTACTAGCTGTGAGCAGGTTGTTGGGGTGCGCCTTGTCGTTCAAAATGTGCAGGAACACAACGAGCGGTGGGACCAGAAGTGCTGTTGCGAAGTACGGGAGTGCCTCCGTCACCCATAGTGTCGTAATAAAAACGAGCATGGCCAGGCATCGCTGTTGCACGTCCTCTCCTGCAGTGTGGAGAAAGCATCAAGCAACACAATAAATATTCCACCCGCAAAAATCCAAGTCGCGTAAAACTCTTCCAACCTTTTGGAGTAATACGAACAAGCAGGAGAAAAACAAAAAGCGCCACCGAGATGCAGAAGGGGACGATTTTCACCTGGAAATGATCCAGCACGGAACACGAACGAAGCTTCAATACAATCGTTCCATGTTGTCACGTATCTCCAGCAAACACAACTCACCTTGCGAAGGAGCGAGTTCTGGTCGCCCTGCATTCGCCTCATGCGGCGTTCCATATTTCCAGCCTCCAGCTTGTCCCTGCCACCATTTCCAATTTCACACAGTCAAAAACTTGTCATCCAGCATAACAGCATCATCCAACGCACCGCGACGTGAGACCAAACACGCGATCCAGCAGCTCATCAATGTCATTAGACGCGTAAAATCGCTCATTAGCCAGACGCTCCATGAACGCTTCCTGCGTGTGTTCCTTAATCGTCTTGTCAAACTGCAAGAGAATCAACACGTGAGCAACCGAAATATGTCCTCAATATTCAACATCTCTCTCACCTTCTTGACAATTTTCCGGAAGCCTGAGTGGTTGATCTGCACGAACGTGCGTAGGTCAACCAACGTGTCGTAGATCTCCTGTAGCGCCGCAAACCCGCGGTCCGCTATGATAACAGCAACAAACACATTCTCAGCCTCTCATCACCCTCAAAACACTCATCTTCATTCTCGTACAGTGCGAGTGTGTACGTGAGCGCGTATGCACGTGTCCCATGGGCTTCTTCTCGTCCTCCAACATGGTCTCGAACTCACCCACTGACCTGGTGAGTGTGACCACTTTGCCCACGTAAAAGTCGTTGACGATCTTGAGGTTGGCGTCCAGTACCTCCCAAAACTGATCCTTAGCATCTTGTACGTCGTCCACCACGGGCTTTAGCAGCGGGTGGGTCTCGTCCACAGTCACCTGGAGCTGTACGTCTCCAGCGTTGTGCTCCATCTTTTGCTGCAGTTTCTTCTGCTTGTTCTGCTTCTTCTCCACCTCAAAGGCCACGCGCTTGATGAGCCGTTTGAGTCGCTTGTACTGCACGTAGTTGTCGCGCCACTCCGGGTTGGCCGAGATCTCTAGCTGCTTGCCGAACTTCATGACGGCAATGCGGATAAGAGTGAATGTCAAGCGGTAGCGAGCGGTTTAGCAAGTGGCTCAGCAAATGAGACGGAGGAAAAAACGGGCGAAATGGATCATAATTTGAAGCATTGATTCGGCAACTTTAAAATTTAAAGCAACTTAGCAATCGTCGTCAGGGAGCCCATCTAATCTCCGAGCGACTATACTACAATAAGCTACCAGCTTTTGCAAGGCGCTAGGCATACGGGCCTGAGTAGGGCTGATACTAACTGGCAGTGTCAGCGATACAGCCTAGCGCTGCATTGCTAGATGCGGATAGATTCGTTAAGTTGTGGCAATCAGCTATGTTGCTGTTGCGGTCTGCACATAAACGCTGAGACACGCATTCGCGTCACCTGCGCTTCGGGCGACATTTCTCCACAAAGGACTCGAAAAAGAGCTCTATCAACCATGGCGTTCCGTCGCGAAGTGCCGCCGCTGGACAAGATGGTGTTGAAGTTCATCTCCAAGGCGCCGCGGCAACTGGACGTGATCATCAACGAGAAGACGCTGGAGCGCGCGCATCGTATCGGGAAACCGTCCAAGTCGCGCACGCACAAGGCCAAGCAGGAGGTCATTCGGGCGCTTTTGCGTGGCGGGAAGCTGGGCGACGACACACTGCCCCAAAGCTTCTTCCATCCGACCATGACGCGCGTTGAAATCATCGGTGCTAAGATATCTACGGTCTTTGTGGAGATGGTGAGTTGGCTGCTGGCCAAGCTGCTGAGATGGGACAGACAGCACTGACGATATCATTGTCGTTGCCCGTTCAGTTGTCCAAGACATGCCCCAAACTGCACTCGGTCAATTTCTCGGGATGTTTCCGACTCACGGACGACGCAATTGAATTATTGCTGAAGAGTTGTCCAGGTGAGGGGCTTTAATGTGGCTGAATGAAGAATACTAGTGGATTTAATTTTTTTTCTTATTGTGGACTGCTACAGAGATCAAGGAGCTGAACATTGAGAACTGCCGCAAACTGACGGATTTGTCGCTGGATCATCTGCGTAAACTCGCCCCGAAGCTTCAGGTGGGGTACTGCCGAGAGGGGGGAATGTCGAGGTTGTTTTAAACATTCTAATGTGCCGCTTCAGAGCATTGATGTCGGCGGCAACTTTAACATGACGATTTCCGGTATTACGAAGCTGATCGAAAAGCACCCGAATCACTCCAAGTTTACGAAAGTCCACATTTCTGGCCATCCTGCGACGGACCAGTACGTATCCGAAAATTTGTGGCCAATTTGGGATTTTCTTGCTAACAAGTTGTGGGTTTTTAATGGTACAGAACGATTAAGACCATCATGGCCAAGTGTCGGAAGCTGCACAGTTTAAGTGTTGGCTATTGCGCCATCACTGATGAAGCGTTGATTGCGCTGCTCAAGAAACGCGAATCCGTATCGCGTCTGTGTTTGCATTGGAATGTTGCAATCACGTACGTTATTGCGTCCATTTCAGTCAGACTCTCGCACTGAAACCTGGATCTTACTGTGTGCTCTTTGTTTTTCTTTTAGCGATCAATTGCTTCGCTTTCTCGGATCTGAGGCTCGGAACTTGCAGGAGCTAAACCTATGTGGTGTTAAGAGCGTTTCCGCAGATGTACGTTAATCGTATAAGCTCTTTTATACTTGAAGAGGTAGCTTGCTCACTATGAATTTTTCGACGTGTACTTTGCAGGCGATTGTTGCTGCCATCCACGCGAAAATGGGCATGAGAAACGAGTTGCTAGACCCTACTTTACCTCAGCCTTCTCCTGATGAGAATCCCGAGCCAGAGCGAAAGCGCCTCAAGAAGATTGATTTCCGCTACACAACGTAAGCACCTTACCTCTTGTATCCATCAACCTGTAGCACCACTTACACTTTGTTTGGTTGCTAGCGTCACAAAGGAAGCGGCTGCATCTGTCAAGGAGCGATATCCAGAGCTACAAGTCACGTTCTAAACCAAAGACAACGTCGTTGCACAACAAATAAAACCTTCGTGCCAATCCTTGTCAGTATTTTACTTCGAAAAAATGCAACATGCAACATGTATCACACAACCGCTACTCCATGACATCATCATCGATCTCGTCGCCAGCGTAATAAATATCGTGGCCGGCAGTCTGCTCGTCGCCGTCCAGACTAGTGCACAGCGTAATAGCCAGCAATAGCTTTTCGCGCATGATCTCTTCGTTTGAATACACTGGTAACTCGATATTGAAAAAGCATGTGTCTGCCTTGGGCAGCATCGCGTCTTGATCCACTCCGCAATCTTGAGAAGGCGCCTTGATGAGCAAACGTGTGTGCGTACGATCAAACTCGGCATCGTCAGCGGGCAGCGTGTCTTGACCCCAGGCAAAGTTGATAAACCGTCGCTTGTTCTCCTCGCTGAAACTCGATAGCACTTTCCAAAACATCTCCAAGTGCGGGAATTGCTCGGGGCTCATGCCCGAAGAGTAGCGAGTGTGGCGCTTTAGCAGATTGATATCAATTTCTAGACTGCCGCTCACCCATTGCTGTAGCTCAGACCACACGCATAATTGCAGCAACTGGACTGGCACGATCTTACCGAGACCACGTAGCATCGCGTCCACTTGAGGCTTGCACTCCTGCAGTCGAGTAGCTTTGACCAGTCGAATATACTCCTTCGCGTTTGCCTTGGTAACCGGAAGCTGTTGTCCTCCATCCTTAAGCTCCACGATAGTTCCATCGCTGAGAGTCGTGGTGAACGAATCGTAGAGTACCTCGTTGGGGTCGTCGCTTGGAGCGGATGCCAGTTCCTCAAGGAACTTCAAACTCTCACACAATGAATGGTCTACACTTTCAAGATCCGTGAGGACGAGATTTTGCTTGACGAGCATTTTCCATACCAAAGGTGCCAGACGGAGATTGAGTCGAACCCCTGTGCGCAGGCAGCAGCCCATCAAAATGCCAACGAACTCGAACATTTGCAACAGTTCTTTGGACGTGCTGCTCGGCTTGGGCATGTAGCGCTCACGGAATTCTCCTGCCTTCATGACATTATTTTGCGACGGGATGAATAGTGGGTTACCACTGGCGAGTAACTCGTTCGATATGTCGTTGAATAACTGGCGGTACGGGCCTCCCTCGCCCACCACGTTTTCGCCGGCAAAGATGACAATAAACGACACAAACGGATCGCTAGCACCCGTAGGTCGCTTTGCACGCAGCAGAGACGGCGAGATAGCGCTCAACTGTTTCATCGTCGATGCAAACAGTGATCTTCTGGGATCGCGTAAAGCCACCAATGACGTCGAGGCCTCCGTGGTGCTAGAACAAATGCCTCCACGCTTGCCAGCGATCTTCCTTCGGTCGATCGTCACCATTGGCCGTTTGGCATTCGTATCGACGAACACAGAGTGCGCCAGAGTGGTATTATCTTGTGTGTGAGCGAAGAATCGAATCTTGACTCCAGGAAAAATCAACTGGCGAATCGAGACGATACGGCTGCGTAATGAGCTTGGATCACTCCATGGGCGGAGGTTCACAAGGGGTAACGCTCCTACCAACAACTTGTTGAGCGATTGCAACACCGCAAACCGGAGTCGCAAGTCGCGTGTCTCGAGTGAAGCTATCTGCAAGTATTCGCGCGCGTGGCTTGCATTCAAATGGCTTGGGCACAGATCCGTCAACATGAGCACACCCATCTTTCCGCTGAGTTCCCGACACACTGCAATTAGTTGACAGTCCATCTGGTGTGTCCACTTCGCTTGAGCTTTCATCGCGTCGTCCATGGATCCATAGTGACTCAGTTCGAATTGCAAATCATAACCCGATGAGCGCAGACACTTGTACACTCCCAGAGTCTTCCGTTCAATCTCTGACAAAGCTTTCACCGACGTTAATTTGTTCAAGCGCTCCTCACTGGATAGACTATCCCACGCATGGTTCTTCGTCACACTAGCTAACGCAGCGAATGCCTCTATTGCCGCCTTGCTATCGGATGTCGAGAAGTACTGAGAAGCTTCATGATTAAGTACACGACGGAGTTCTGGAGCCATAGTGACCACGGCTTCGGTAGTTGAGGACGTCTCGAAAAACTGGTGGTGTAGGAAATTAGTCACCTGCTTCGGCACGTCACTGGTGTCATCTGCTACGCGTATAATTTCAACAAATCGAGCAGCGCTCAACTTGTATCGCGAAGTTGAAGTGTCCACATCACTTGACACTGGATCGATTTCATTCTGGTTGCTTTCTCCACTAACAGCAGATGAGGGAGGCACCAAATCTGCACTACGTTCCATTGTGCACGCGTCACAGGTCGTATCTGCCCAACTGTTAACGAACGTGCAAGTAGTGCATGCCCAACCACTTGAAGCAGCACTCTCCGATCCATTCACCGGCTGTTCGGATCTCGACGACTGTGACTGAGCTTGAACATCTCGAGCCAAGTTCGCCATTTCAGGAGGAATGGGAGAGCCACATGCAGCACATTCCGCATCAGCTAGAGAGTTTTCCAGCGTGCACACACTGCATGCCCAAACATCACCGCTTGGGTCAGCGCCATCAGAGCAGCTGTCATTTCCATCGTTTGATTTACCACTAGAGCTGTCTGGAGGGCGACACACTGCTTCGATTCTAGCGAGCAACTCATGATCTTCCTCCGTAGGAGTTCCGCCATCAAATTCGAATGTTTCCTTGGAGATTCGAGTCAGCAAGTTCGAAATAACGTCAGCTCGACCAATGTCTATCATGGCGTAGCCCATTGTTTGGCCTTCAGAATCAACCGGCATGAAGAGGATATCGGCAACAATACCGAATCGAGTGACGGCAGCGGCAGAGTACACGTTCTGGTCGTCCGCTTCTCCACATTCTTCCAGAGCTAGATGCACGATAAAACGCGAAAGACTCGCCCGTAGCTCCGCAACATTCGACGTGCATGGTAAATTCTGCAAGAAGAGGATCCTTTCGCCAAATAAATCATGAGTAGCCAGAGCAGTCTGCGCTGTCTGAATCTCCCGAATAGGAGCTCGACCACAGTAAACTCGTTTAAATGCGTCAGGAGTTGCAATTTCACGCTTTCCCTGGGCCAAAACTCTGGTAAACACAGCCATCCGCACAAACTCTTTCCACCAAGCACCGCCAAGTATTGATGATGATCCACCCTTCAGCGAAGATACCTCTTCAACCAGAGAAATGAGCTCAGCCAACTGCTGGGTGTACAAAGAGAAGAGACCTTTTTGCGTGGTGCGTTCGTTGTCGTGCACAAAGGTTAACTCTTTCACCAGTCCGGAGAGCTTTGCGATTGGAACAGCGTGCATAGCTCCCTTACTCAATGCGAAGTTGATCAATTTTGCCGTGATCTGGTACACAGCAGTCTTCGCATTAGCTGGTAAACAGGCCGTAGTCGCAATCAGATACTCCACCAGAGCATTCAACGCAGTAGTAAGTACAGTCTCCACCTCGTAATGGGAAAGCTGAATAGCCAACAGCTTCTGGTAAATTTCTTCACACAACCACAGCGCCAATCCAAAATCAGAAGTGAAAGGATCCACACGAAACTTGTATCGAGCGTAGGTGCCTTGGGACATTCGCACGTAGCATTTGTCGCCAGGAACCACGAGGGGTGGGAGATAGCTAAGTCCACGTTTGTCTCCAAAGTATCCAAACAATCGATCTGTGCAGCGTTCGTCGCGGAAAAACTCTAGGCTGCTTCCGGCTGGTAAGTCCATAAGTACGGGGTGTACGGCGAAAGATAGCACCAAACAGGTTGCGTCCGGAACATGAATCAATACCAATGGTTGAGGGGGACTGTCGCTGGTCACCATGAACGATCTGCTTCGCAAGAAGGCACTGGACAAGTCGAGACCAGCTTTCAGCTCAGACAGTAGCGCCTCCATCAGCAAGTAGCGATGCTTCCGCGTAGACAGCGCTGGTGTCACATCAGGTTGCTGCAACTTGGGTTGAGTAGATTTTAGAGAGGTACTAGATCCACTTGATGATGGCGCTGAGCTCGACGAAGCCGAAGTAGCAGCAGCGGAAGCCCCAACTGCAGCTAACTTACCAGCAAGTGCACCTTGTTTCCCACGCTTCTTGTGCTTCTTCGCCGGCATTGTCACCGTTACGCTAGCATTCTCGTCATACGATGTGGATCTGTCCATGACAGGAGGAGGAGGGCTAGAAGCAGCACGCTCAAACTGTTTGTTCAGTACTGTCTGCAATACCGTGATCAACGCAGACTTCGGAGAGACCTTAGGCCGCAAATAAAGACTGCTGCTGTTTTCAGTGAGAGCTCCAGGCGTTGAATCGGAAAGCATTCCAATCTCAGAAGACAGCACCTTCTCCGGGCATCCGAGATCAGCTGCAGCAGCCAGTCGGAGCAGATCAGCTAGATCGTAGCGATTTCCTGGGTTCTTGGGCAGTGGAGCGGTCAACTGAGTCGTAGGCATTGGCGCATGGCCGATTGACGACGAGGTTGGCAACGGAAGAGGGGACGAGCTCGTTCTTGCTAAGCTTGTTTTCCTGGTCTCGATCGATATCTTCATAGCATGCTCTGGGGCAGCTTGCAATAGGTCAAATACGCTCTTCCGGGCTATGCTGTAGATGAGTTGTTGATTCATCATCTTCAGCCGAGTCCTGCTCGCCTCGAAGTCCGTAACTGATTGTTCAGAGACCGAAACGACCGACGACATTGCACGCAAGTTGTCCACATGGTACCACCAGTACTCACTGGCAGACGTCACAGGATTCACCACTTGAAGTAACACCATACCTGATGGATCAATCACTCGAACAGTTCCAGTGTGGCCTAAAGTCCACAACATATCTCGCGACCAATCTGCAACATCCACGTTCTCAGAAGCAATCACATAGCGACCGCCAACTTCCAGGTCGTCGATTTGCAGAGCAGACCAATCAGTATCTGGGTCCGGGTAGTGACAGCCTGACGGCACATGGCCGTCACACAATGTGAATGCGATTTTTAACGCCGCCGCAGCATTCCCCTCTCGCAATGGCTCGCGTAACTGGGCGAAGAAGTAGTCCATTTCGTAACTCTTGAAAGAACCCGATACATACGTCTCGATCGCCGGGATAACGTTCTTTTCCCAGTATTCCAGCATCTTGTTTCGGCCCGAGTGTTGCGGCAGGTCATTGCGTGAAGAAAACGCGTGCAGACTGTAGAAATATTCCGATGGCTCGGGCATCGACTGCGATCCGTCACTAGCGACCGACGTATACGCGGGTGCATCCTCAGGCATCGACGTTGGGGGTCGAAGAACACAAGTTTTGTCGTCACTAGCAGAGAACGAGCTTGACGAAATCGGCCGCGTTGCTAGCGAGAGGTGTAAGTCTCGTGAGCGCAACCACTCCATATTCCACAATAATTCGCGCATATCCGCAATGTCTTCCACTTTCAAGTCACGCACGCACATCTGCGCAAGCTGAAAAAGAATGGCTGGGCAGTTACCGTTTGTCTGTAGCATGCACACACCATCCTGTCAATGCATTATCAAATAAAAGACAACATACACAAGGCACTTACTGAGATCACTTGGTTATCGAACAGCGACGGCCATGAAGGAGCCATCGATGAAAAAGACTGAATGAGAGCACAAGCTAACTCCCAAAGTAGTAGAGATCCTGCAGTGGGTGTGCCATCCTCATCCACGTCATCGCTTTTGCCATCAGATGTCCACTCGTAGATTGTTCTCACTACAGCGCAAAAGGGAACAACAAGTGGTTCAAGCAATTCAACGGTATCCATGCCAAGAGGGATACCGCTAATCGCCTTCACCTCTGAGGTTGTACGTTTGTAGAAGCATAAATCATCATCATTCGCAGCTTCTCCGTTTCGTACTCCTTCCGTAAAACCATCCAGAGTTGCAATCACAATGTCGTCGTTACCAAACGCGTAAGAATAAACCACACCAGTGTGCCCACCACGAGCCTTGTCAGCTGCATAACTCGACAGCAAAACATTTCCACCGATACGTAGTGGCTCACGGAATCCACCAAGCACCTGAGTGGCTCCCAGAGTCAGGAAATACGCATCGTACGGCGCCGAGGTCATGCCAGTTGACTCGGTGATTTGGTGTGGCGCATCTTCGAGAATCTCGGTCATCTTTCTCAAGGTGCTACTTCGCCATTTCTGCATGTTCGAACGCCCAGAGATCATTAAGCGCAGCACAGCTATCACTTCGGACGCCAATTGTCGCCCATGCTCGACCTTTTGACTACTTCGACGTGTGGTTGAGTTGACAAGAGCCGCCTTTCTGTTAAAGGCATTGATAACTTCTCGATTAGCTCTTCTAGAAGAGTTCTTCTCGCCAGACACGGGGGAGCGACGATGAGAGAGACGAGATGAGCCAGGCTCCAAGAAAAGTTGCATGCTTCCTTCCCAATCGTGCAACGCGTCTACGTCCGCCATATCATCCGAGTGCGCGACGGTCACAAGGAACCCTAGATTTGCCAGCGCGTTGGCAGTATCACAACATTCACGTCTAGTACCAAAGCAGTAATTAACGTATCCATGTGAGTCAAGCAGTACACGAAGTAGGTTTCCCTTCCACGGCTTCGATCCAACAAGAGCTGTCTCGGGGACGACATTTCCACCTTTCGACCGAGGCTGTAACAAATCTCCGCTGCCAGTCGCGTCGGCTAAGCGCACGAAGGGATGATCCATATTATGATTCTGGTTCGTGTAACAGCTCGTGCACAAATCGTAGTTGGGGCAACTGAAACACTTGAATCGGAAACCACGCAAAGGACTCTGATTACAGCCGTCACACCGCACACTTGAATGCTTCATCGTGGCCTGAGCGGCCGTGCATTCAGCAACTGCTTCCGTAATTGCTTTCTCAACGGCATCCTTCCCATCACTTCCTTCAACTGGAATCTCCAACGAGCTGACATCTGGCTCCCCCACACTGTTGGCTGCGTCCACCAACTTGTCAGTAGCCACCTCGTTTTGGAAAATAATGACACAATGATCCGATATCTTGTTGTTTTTTGGAAAAGGTACTGCATTTGAGGCGTGATCACTTACTGGAAGTGGAGACACGATCTCCCCGACTCGTTTCAGTAAAATATCTTGAATCTCCATTCCGAGCATCATTTTGTTTTCAGTTGAGCGTGGGACAACCACAGAAAGATCGAACATAGCATCTCCCAGCAACTCCAAAGCGTAGCGAATGAGTCTTGTGCTTGCCACACTCAAGGTTAACGGGGAATTCTGTGTTGCCACGATGTCAATCGCGTTCTGAATCCACCAGCAAAAAACTTCAGGCCACTCGTGAACAATAGCAACTTTGTTCGCCACGGTACACATGAGACGATAAGTAGCTTCGTCTGAAGATTTGATAACGCACGTAGGCGCGCCCGTAGCCTCCTTGTCTTGTTTCGCAGCAAAGTGCTCGTATAACGCACAGAGCTCACCAAACACCGTTTTCAACGGCGATTTCCACGACGTATCCGATCCACCTTGCTCAGCGGCATTGTCCAAAACTTCCTCAGCAAGTAGTCGCAACAAGATCCAAGCAGTATCATACACTTGTCGATGCACTTCTCGTGCATCAGGGTGTCCGGAAAGCAGCACACCCTTATCCGCCGATAGTTCGTTAGCATATGGCCACATCTCGCCATCAAGAGCCAAGATCAATTTCGAGACTCTTTCCAGGCCAAGAGCACGGCTCGAGATACTGTCTACGGAATGTGCGCAATTCCAAATGTCCGCCAGAGCCACAGCGCGGAATGCAGGCAGCGCGTCTTTGGACTCCGAAATGCAGGCGATCGATTTTGCATACGAGTTAAGCCTATCCACACACGATAACAACACAGGTAAGTATGACATACAGAGAGTCAAGAGGAAGCGATACTTACGAGGCCATGGTTTTGGCCAGAAGGAGAGGACTAGCCACTGCACACCCAGAGAGAATAGCATCATCTTGCATCAACGTGTTTGAAGGGACAGCGTACAGGACGCGACCGACGAAGAATTGAGCCATGTCGTCGTTTTTCAGATTCGTAATCGCCTCCTCGCAGTATCCAATACCAGCTAAACGCGATTCAAGACGAGCCGAATGGGCTGTAGAGCATTCTTCTAAAGCAGATATCGGTACAGTGCTGCACAGAAATCTACTCACATCGGACAAACAATCTGGTACCGCCGAGTGAATTGGCTCTGCGACTGATTCCAAGTAGGTGTAGCCGTATTCCACGCATTTTTCCCACCTTGCTAGTAGGAAACGAGTTTTCGATAAAACAGCTTGGGCAACTGCTTCATGTGAACCTGACGACTGGGAGTCATCTTTCTCGTGCTTCGCGGCAATTTCCTTGACAAGAAGCTCATGGATGGACTTAACGCAACTTGTCATGTCGCTTTTCTTGAACACAACGCTCTTCAGTTGGCAGAGCTCTGAAAGACGATCCAGATTATCTGCATATCGCTCCATCAATTCATCCAAGCTAACTTCATCGATGCACAGGTAGTGCCATTCACTGACAAGCTGGACTTGGCGCAGCATCCACCGCTCCAGTTTCCCCAGCTCAACTGCAATTCGATGGAAAAGCGCGCTTTCGATAACATTGGGCAACACTCCTTGATTCTCCACAGTATCCAGCCAGACATGTAGCTGATGGTGATTCGAGCGCACCAGCAGAACAGCAGCAGCCACTTGTAGTGATTCTTCCCAACGAACAGTAGAATGTCGAGGCGGTAAAGTGCGAAGCCGCACAAATTCGGACAATGTCGAAAAGAACATCTCTCCTCGCTCCGTGCGATTCACAACGTCATCAACGAATTTCCATCTAGACTTCAGGATATTGCATGCAGGGACTGGCAAGTTGAATAGTTGCCTCTCCATGACCCACGGTTGACACGATTTTTCGACGCCTTGCGGGGGAGAACCACGCAACAGTTTGTCTCCAAGTATACCGCACGCATTTGCTACAGAGCACCCCAACTCAGGCAGCCAAGACCTCTGCGGGCTGCCAAAAAGACCACGCACCGTACACTTGAGACCCCATCGCTGTTTGTCCCCAGTTCCACTTCGAGCTTGCGTTGTCGCGCATAGCATGACTGTCGCAGTATCTCCTACGACGGTAAGTCCTCCTGCCGGCCAGTTTCCCCGCGAGTATGAGCCAAAGAAGCACCCTCCATCTTCACCAAAGCCAACGTCTCCGTAGGGGAGGCGATCAGCTTGATACCAAGCAAGTCCAGACGTGATGAACACGATGTCAGCTTCTCCAGACGTCCGACAACGTGGGTCGAACTCGAAATGTAACACGCTGGCACCAGGAATGTGCACCACCCGGCGAAACACGGGCTGAGTGTGATTGTATGGATGCGGTGTCTCCACTACTTGGTATCCGCCAAAGATGGCAGCATCGTCAAGGGCCGGCCTCGGCCTGGTCACGCGAGTGCTCTCATCCGAACAGATCAGAGTATCAAGTTCTCTCATCAAGAAAAGCAAACGATCTCGGAACTCATCCGAGAAATGGTCGGGGAAATTCGGGATGAAAGCGATTACCATGGGCAAGATTGTCCCTACCACAGACGCTTGTAGGTCGCAACCATTTGACGCATCACCTTGGTAGCAACGCAGCATTTCCAGAGCGGAGTCAAAGCATGTGCGCGCAAAACGTTCAAACGATGTCGTTGCTTCCAGCACCTCCTGTCCCACTTCCTTGAACGATGACGTCGGTGTTAGCTCAATGTTGGCAGCATACATTCGAGCACAGCAATAGTTCATAACGGCATGCAGAGCTTTGCTAACTGGAGTTTGGAACGGTAAGCCATCGACTTTAATTAGCCACTTTTCCCGCTGGATGCCACTTCTACTTTCAAGCTTGGACAACGCAAAAAGAACTTCCAAAAATCGAGAAAAATTCTCAGCTGCTGTTGGCACAAAATCGGCAACTGCGATACGCCCATCATCCATCGGACTGAAAAGTAGTCTCCTTAGTAAATCCACGCCACAATCACGCATCGTTTGCAGTATCAGAGAGTCATGGGACTCCAATAAGATTGCAAAGAACGACTCGGGTAAATCGGTCTCTTTATGGCCGTCTTTACCAATGTCATCTGATGTCCCAGAGCCGATAATATCTTCGCACGCGGAAATAAAAAACTCGGATCGGCAATTTGAGAAGAATATACCCTTACGTATCCCCCAGACCAGCAAAAAATGTGCAGAGATAACAATTCTTGATCGTTCGGATTGCAAGGCACCATCCGCGGGAGTTTGTTCAGACATCTGATCGCCAAAAAGGCGTCTGGAGATATCCTTCAATGTACGTTCAGTGTCTTGGAACAGCTCCTGGGTGGCTTCATCACACGAACTAATGTTCATCGTAACCCCAACGAACTCAAACTCTTGCACAATCTCCGCCAGAATTCGTAGAAGGTCGGCTACAAGTCTAAAAGCCGCTCTAAGTGCAATCGGATCACCATTTTCACCGCAATCTCCCTTCTTAGATGAAAGCATTCCGCAGTAGTAATTGACAGCTCGAAGAATCTGGAGTAGTCCCTCGTCTTCAAAATCCACGCAAAACGGAATAATGTAGCCCGGCGGATCCTTAGAATGCAGTCGGTCGAGCTCTTTTAACCGCGCACGAATATTCTTGATCCGGCGATTCTTTGATTTTGTCCCCAGGTCGCCGTCCCTATGATCAGCTGGTTTATCCGTTGAGGCTGGTGCTGGCTCACGTCCTGTTCGAAATAATACATCCTGCAAACCAGCCCGCGGGTGCTTGTACGCCGGGAGAGCTGCTCGCTTCCGCATGAGCTGAGCAAGTTGGGAGATAATTAGCATTCCAGTATCCGCTAGCGTTGTGCACTCTGTCGTAATTTGTTCCACAAAATCTCGGCTTTGTTGCACATGATCCACGTATTCCTCCAGACAATTCAGATAGCCCGAGAACACAAGAATCCGCTTACGTGTCATGTCAACGCAAGTTGGCGAACCAGCAGGTACTCCCTTAAGAAGCACAGGCTTCTCTGCAAGTAATGAGCCATTTTCCAACGAAAAAAACCAGGACGCATCATTTGAGCTGGCAGCACGCTTCACTTTGTCGCTCTGTTCCTCACCGACAGTGTACAGTCCTGGCGGCGAAACCACGCATAGCTGTCCGTGGGTTGCGAAGAATGTACCAGCGATAAGCAGTACGGGATCCAGAGCACCCGATTTGGGCTTTGCCGCAAGAATGACACTGGACACTGTGGGAATGACCATTGGCTCTCGGAGATACGCGCCGCACGTATGCAGCCATGTGGATGCTTCATTGAGCTGGAGTCCGTTCCTTCTGAGCGCTACTTGACACTCCTTGCGGGTGTAAAGTCCACACCAGAACGCAGCAAGATCATTCACCATTTGATCCTCCGTCTGCTGCTTCAGCTTCTTCTTGTCTTCGTCCTTCTTCTTTAATGAGGCTTCGCGAGCGCTTTCAGCGAATAACGACACATCGACGTTGGCAAAAGGATCAGCACCCTCGGATGCGAAGGACTCGACAGTAGTTTCCACATCACTCGCCACAGGGCCATCATCTGCACCGGGAACGGTATCATCCGAGGTAGTGTTCGCAATAGATGGAGTGTCATCGTCTACAGCATTTCCTTCAGAAGTTGACTTATCAATCGATGGTTTGTCGCTCACCGTAGCGAATAAACACGACTCGCACAAATCGAAATCACATCCCGACGTACAGCGGTATCGCTTGGCAGCGTTGTCCCTGAAGCAATTGGACGTGCCACCATCGCACATCCAAGACGTCTTTGAAGTACACAACGTGACCGTATGGGAGTGAAGCGCAGATAGTGTCTCCACACCGCCCTGGGCGTCTCTTGATCCACTAGTGCCGTGCTTATGTTTTTCCCTCGAAGGTGTCAAGTCCAAGAAGAGGTCAATATCAGGTTCCTCCAACTTCATGATGGAGGTGATACTGTCTACCTTGTGCCGGTACAACACAAGTTGATGACGAGGCAGTGGATCAGGTTCGTTCTCACGATTACCCTCAACGACCCCCTCTCCGTCCCTGGATTTTCGTGAACTTTTGACATTCGGCAGAGGTTTTCGCTCGAGAAATCCGTCCTTTTCCGTCACGATATACAAGTCGTAGCATCCTTCGGCGCCCCAGCGATACGTATTAACACGCTGATTTTTGTCCCATCGGACTGTTACACCACTGCCTTTCACGCCTCCCCAGGTGCTTATACGCTCCACTGTACCAGGACTACCCTTTTCACCATCTTGATTCGACCACTTCCAATCAGGTCCTCGAACAACGCGATCCCCCACATTAATGGTGACAGGTTCGGGAGACTGGAGTGGTGAATTTGGTCCACTGTCACTTTTTCCGAGCACAGCATTTACAATTTCACTCACCGGTGTGGACTTCCTCGATTTATGACTACGACTTCTGTGTTTGCGACTGCTGCTAGTTTTACTTGAAGATTTCTTGTAGGTATCGATGCAGCGAATCGTAAACAAGTCAACGCCGTCAGTAACCATAGCATACACGCTGCTTTCAGTCGTGCCTTTGCCTATCAAGGCACGATTTGGAGCCAAAACAAGCTCCTGCACATTCTGCAGGTCGTTAGTTCGGATACGATCCACGCGATGGCCGGGCATAACAATAGTGCGGCAGTAGAGCTCGTCGCCAATACAGCAGAGCCACGAGCGTTCAGCGTCGCGACTGCGAACATAGTCCTTGTTGTGTGCGTATACAAAATCGCGCGCCGTCGTTCCGTTCCCAGTCCCAATCTTCAAAAGCCCGGATCGGCCAAATATGTACAGGTAGAGGCCATCGGTCGCAATTGCATCACTCGTAGAAGGCTGGTATGAGCAAACTTTCCACTGTGCCGATAAATCTCGAGGGAACGTCGCTGCAAGAATTGGCTCTGCAACGTGTTGAGCCAAACGCGAGCAGTACAGCTTCAAAAGCCTCTGCAATTCAGGACGAGTTGATCCACCATCAGCATCGTCGATGTACGTCGCCTGCCCCAACTTGATGAATTGTAACGCAGCTTTGCTTAGGAGTGTAAACGATTGCAACTGCACTCCCATCGCAAACAGCCCAAGCAACCCAGCAAACACCGAGTCTGCTGCAGCTGAATTTTGGCCATTCCGTGTCAACTCTAGGAATTCAGTGACTTCGGCTGCAAACTTGTTCGCATCGATCGGTTCATAGATTAGACTCGTCTCTGGTAGTTCAGCTAGGCGAGACAGGAACTCAATAGCAGCATCCGTGTCGTTGATCCATTCGAGTGGACTTCTGTAGGGCAGGTGCGGCCATTTTCGCGGGAACAAGCTTGGTACAGTTGTTTCCACTGCGTCTTCCTTCTGAGATGCCACAAGCAACGCCTGCTTCTTCCCTTCATTGCGTTTATCACTCACTTTAGAAGTCTCCACCACTTCGTATCCTGGTCCAGTTTCCAGCGCACGTTGATAACACACCCGCATAAACTCACTTTGTTTGCGGTAACGATAGGCGTTGGCGCAGTGCACACGGCGCGTAAATGCGGCGATAGCTCGTCTAGCTTTGCGAAGCTGCATTTGTTGACTCATAGATTTTTTCTTCTGCGTGCAATTTCCAGACCTCGGGAGGACGTACAAGTCCCGGAATGGTTCGAAGATCTGCTCGAACGTGACGGCTCCGACGCCCGATACTTTGGTGCCAGTCACGGCAGGTACTGGGAAAGTGTTTTGTGGCTCTAGTTCCGCCTTATCCGTCGACTTGTTCCTCTGTCGTGGCTGGTGGATCTCTTCGTCCTCCTCCTCCAGTTCGAAGTCGTCCAGCGAGTCGTAGTCATCCTCATCGCTATCGTCCTGCAGACCCTCGAGCTCTGACACGACACTGCCATTAAGCAGGCGACTGAGTCTCCTGGACGTGCGTCTGGATGTGACGCTGCTTGCTCGACGACGGCGACGGGCGCGGCGCAAGCGACTTGTCTCGCTACTGTCGCTATCGCTGCTACTGCTGCTCGCGTCGCCATTTCGGATCTCGTTGGTGCCTAGCACCGCATCTTCGCTGAAGAAGTGGAACGTCTCCTCCGTCTCCACGAAGCGTCTCGGCGGCACCATACTCCACTTGCGTTACGCAAGTTAACCCACTGTCTTCTCAGCGATTCTGCTGGAAGCTTCTGATTCCAGGTAATATTCCGTTTACAAGGCTGTATGACAAATGGTAGTGTGCCCGCATTGAACAAAGCTCGGCATCATGGACCCTCCGCCGCCCCCGCCGCCTTCGTCGGCGCACGCCCCGCCTCCACCCAGCAGCTCTAGTGCGTCGTCTCCTGCGCCAGCTAGTGCACCTCCACCACCGCCTCCTCCTGGACCGCCTCCCACGCCTTCCTCAGCGGCCAGTACGCCGCCCAAGCCCCACGCCCCTTCTCCAGCTTCCACACCCACGGGAGGCAATGTGGCGCCGACGCCGCACTCGAAGCTGCTTAACCACCAACCACTGGACGCTCCCGACGAACTGGATCGCAAGTGGTACGCGCACTTTTACCACATGCAGAAGACCATTCAGGGCAAGGACGAAGCCGCCGCACTCGCCATTTTGAAGCAGCAACCGGCCGAGGGGGTGGCACCGCTGCCGTTCCAGCCGGATATCGCTCTGCTGTATGCAGTAGTGACAGAACCGACGCTGGCTAAACAGCATCTACGCTACCTGACGGCAGTGGCTGCCACTGATAACTATAAGAATTGCATGGGCTGGCTGCAGAAACTCATCGATCTCAAGTTCGTCAAGCTATTGGTAGCTTGTCGCAGCCAATTGCTATGGCTCGTGAGAGAATTGGTGCATCTGAACGCTCCTGGGGTGGACAAGGTCATTGTCTGCTTGATGAGATACTTAACCGGTGGCGAACCAAGCCGCACTACAGTCTGGTTGGCGTCGTCGATTATCCGGATCCTTATTGAGCACGAAGCATGGCTGCTGTCGTGCTCCAGTTTGATCCCGTTCGTTTTCCACACTTTTGCGAGGATTTCGCTGGACCACACTGCCTCGCAACATGCGAGCTTGCTGAAGCAGGAAGTGGAGCTGTGTACCACACTGTGGAATCGTCGCCAATCGGATGTGGCGCAGCTCGGACGAGAAATCGTGCGCGTGCTCAGCGATGCCAAGGACGTAAGTGCTTCTCAACTTCCTGTTGCTACTTTATGGAGTTTATAACGATCATGATTGTTTTGAATTGCTATGCATGCAGATCCCGGGAATGAACGCGCTTTGGAAACAATTGCGGAACGTCCGTGACACAGCTGAACCCGAGAAGGATGTCACTGTCTACTCAGTGGCTCAATTGATGGCGATTCCGACCCCTCCCAAATATCTTGCCTACCGTTTGAACCCGAAAATGGAGGAATACCTATTGTTTATGATGGTACGTTCAAGTACCCACATAGAGCCATCAGTAGTCACAAATTCGCTCACACTTAGTTTGTTGATAATAGGAACGCGTTCAAGCTGGATCCGTGACGCGCTACCAGAAGTGGTTTTCCTCTCAGTTTTTGAGCAGCCCTGGATCAGACGCTCTTGTACCCGACCTTGTGCGATACATTTGCGCTGTGTATCACCCTTCGAACCAGGTTCTAAGCTCCAAGGTCACCCCACGTTACCACATTCTGGGGTGGTTGTACTTACTCTGGTATGTCATTAACCACTGCTTCTGATCACATTTATTTCTACTGACAATCACCGTGGTTTTAATTGATACAGCCACGGTAGTAAGACCCCAAGTGTATTAGCCCGAGTTCAGCTTGCAATGTTCTTCGACTATCTGTACTTTAAACCATCGGACAACATCATGGCTGTGGAGCCAGCGATCTTGCTAATGGTACGTGTTGGTGAATTGCACTCCACGATAGTGTGTAATTCTAACAATGACTGTACATCCATGCATATCAGGTGAAATCGCTGAAAAGCCATCCGATGGTGACCCTCGCTATGATCCAATTCCTCGTGTTTGCTGTGGAAAAATTTGCGGCATCCGCCGTCAACCGAAAACTGATGCAGAAGGGTGTGTCCACCGCTTTTGCGATGATTCTGAAGCTCGGTGTCGTCTCATCGATTCATCCGCTCCAGTCGTTCCCAATGCTGCTGTCCAGTGCCCCGGAACTGCAATCCGATCTTCACCGTATTTTCCCAGAGCACTTCCCGTCTGCAGAGAATGCCAACAAGGCTCAAGCCCACCCGAGTCCACTCTCAAATGCTGGAGGAAGTCCTGCCAGATCTCCTGTTTCAACTTCTTCACCTGTCCGGCAATCTCCTGTCCGACAGTCACCTGTTCGATCACCCGTTCATCAGTCACCAGTGCGAGGCAGTCCCATTGGCGCCGGTAGTCCCGTGACGTCACCATTACGATCACAGAGCCCCACGCATTCAGACGCGAGTATGGGCGGTGGTGGCCCATCATCGGACACAAACTCTCTCGGCGCTCTATCTTTCTTGCCCGACAACCAACAAACGGTAGATACCTCGACGGAAATGGCTACTCCTAACGATGCGACAGCACTGCCGACTGTGATTTCCCCGAAGCAGCCAGCAGTTGAGATTCCTGACAGTATTTTAGTGCTTGGACGCGATGATATCAAACATTTCCAGCAATCATTGCCCGTGCCGTGTACCCGCCCCACCGAGAGCTTCCTGGAGTGTTTGAACGATATCTTAATATCGTGGATTCGGCAGAGTAATGCCGTCGAAATCGCTGCTCCATTGGGTTCATTCCTGCACGCCTCGCTGGAAAAGATTATTGTGTCATCACGAATTGCTCTGAGCGACGCTCCGAAAGCCACATCTGCTGGTGTATTCGATTCGATGCTGGATCAGGTACTCAGTGAATCGTCTGAACTCTTTGTTCCGTTTTTGAAGGCTATGTATGCTCGGGATGTAACAATATCCTATCGTTTGCTGGCATTCTGTTGCTCTCGAAGCGATTCCAAGAGCCCTGACGTTGCTCTAGGACCGTACGCTACATTCGTTGACGCCATTGGTGGCAACGTGGCTCAAAACATCTTGAAGGACTTGAACTTGAGCCAGCAAATCGACGACGCGCGGGTACAAGCTTGTGCACTAATGGACAAACAGTTGCCTCCTGCTGTTTCCAATGACGAAATGGATGCTGTTAGTGCTACTGCGCTCGTCGTGTGTCCGTATTTGTTCGCGAACATGAAGCACCCGTTCCTGTCCAAGCTCATGGGTCGCGGCGAAGCACTTGTACAACTACTGCTTGGGCTTGTAACACCAGCCATGCTGAATGCGCTGTGCACTCGTGTCGTCATGCGTGAGTTTGCTATGTTCAAGAGTCGTTTGGCCAACATTGTGCTTTCGTCGCTGCAATGGACCTCGTGGGAGCAGTACGGTATGTGGGATCTTGTGGTAGCGGAGCTGCAGTCGGGACGCTCGGCCACAGCCGAAAAGACCATGATGGCAGCGGCGCGCAAGGTGCTGGCCTGTGTGAACCCGAAGGAGAGTCCGGAAACGATGACGGGCTTACTCAAGTGTCTGATCCACTTCAGTCCCGACGCTAGCGTGCTGCAGAGCGTGTTCAAGTTACCTGAAACGTACGAAGACTTCCCGTTCGCGTTGCTGGCCTGCTGGATGGACAAGTTCCCGGACGTCGTGACAAGCCACGTCCGTAGCTCGCTAGAAAATGCCGACGATCTCGACAAAGACAAGGCACTCGCAGAACTCGTCCGGAAGTTGGACCATCTCCAGGACTTGCGCAGCCGAAACGTCGCTGCCAACAGCGCTGAGGAGCAGATCGCGGTGCTGAAGGACGAAAAAGTCCTCTCCGCATTGAAGAATCTACTACACCGACCAGCCGATGCCCCAGCTACGAATTATCACACACTCCGAGCACTTCTATTCGATGAGGAACCTCCTCACAAGAAACAGCGTCTTGCAGGAGATAATTAGATAAATTGCATACGGAAAGTTTAGTAAAAGCGTGCAACATCTTGTCCATCGCCACATGGCTACACTTCGACGCCACGTCAGTCTCGTTTCCCCCGCTTTACTGCCATTTACCCCGCTTCACTGCTCACTCTCCCACAAATCGACATACTGTACACTCGAAGAAGGTCGTAAGTCTTAGCAACGCAGTCATGGGGATCGCAATGTCCAAAGTGTTCGCGGCGCTGTTCGGCAGCAAGGAGGTGCGCATCCTCATCCTGGGCCTCGACAACGCCGGCAAAACCACAATTCTCTGTACGTGTAGCGACGAACGAAGGGGATAACTAAAATCCCTGATAATTTTTTTTAATAGGAGCTCATTGTTGTGTTCTTTGCTGTGGTAGACCGCCTGCAAGCGGACGAGATCGAGCAGACCGTGCCTACAATTGGCTTTAACATGGAAACGCTACAATACAAGAATATCAAGTTCCAGGTGTGGGATCTAGGCGGCCAGACGAGCATCCGGCCCTATTGGCGGTGCTACTACCCCAACACAGACGCCATCATCTACGTCGTGGACTCGGCCGATGTCGACCGCCTCAATATCGCCAAACAGGAGCTGCACGCTATGCTGGAGGTGAGAACAAACCTCTGGATTTATTTATTCTCTGACTGTGTTGTTCTGACTTTATTGTGCTTGTGCAGGAAGAAGAGCTGAAGGACTCGATTCTGCTCGTATTTGCGAACAAACAGGACCAGAAGGGGGCGTTGAACGCTGCTCAGGTGTGTAGATCTGAATACCGGGCGTATTGAGATATTTGACTGATGACATGGCGTGGTGCCGTTGCAGATATCGGAGGCTATGGGATTGTCAGACATCCGCAACCGTCAATGGTCTATCAAGGAAACCACAGCAACACAAGGATCAGGGCTCTTCGAAGGGTTCGACTGGTGAGTTTGGCGTTACGATATTTGATGTGAAGCTATGATAATTAAGAATTTGTTATGTTTGCTGTGATTAGGATCGTGACGTGCATAAAGGGCGAGTAGACTTGTCATCTCAAAAGTCTAGTGCCATCCTCAATGGCCTTGACATCGCACAGACCGAGAGAACTTCACACGCAGGACCTTATTGGTCTTTGTTGATAACTCAGCGATGCCGTGTGTCCGCCTAATACATCCAGGGGTGGTGATCGCACGACCGGTCGTTTAGCAATAGAAGAAGAACCGAGAGACAGATAATCAAGTATGTGAGGAGCGAGAAGCAGGTAGCAAGAAGAATGAAGGCACTTGCTCGAACGGACACGTCGGGCATGGGAATTTTGCATGAAAATACACTGGTGTACTTACACTGACAGTGTTGAGGCGTCTCTTGACAAAGCAGGTTCACGACTGTTTGGCTCCTTCTCAACATGGCGGTCGGGATGAACGGCGGTACGGGGGATGCTGTTTGGTACGGCCCACCCGAGAGCTGGCCGACTGAGCACTGTCGTGTCTTGTACATTATCAGCAAATACGCGCAGCAAGCTCGGAACGTGCAATCGAAAGAAACCTGGATCCGTCAGGTGGCTCTGCTTGTGTTGCTATATGAAGGAATCGACGCCGGTGTCTTACCTTTCGACTACTCTCCAAGTCTGATCTGGCTTACGTTCAAGCGGCACACTGATCGGCGATGGCTTCGCATCTCTCAAGAAGCTAAGTCCGTCATTGATGACTTGTGGGAAGCCAAGCTTGTGAACGGCATTAAGCTTTCGTCTGTGGACTACCAACCGGTCACAGCGTACCAGGCTTCTTTTCGTGGATTGTCGATCGTGGAGCAGATGCCAGAGCAATTGAAACAGGATACCGATACGTTCCTATACGCCCCCGTAGGATCCTTTCGAGGTAATGAAGCAGGTGTTTCTCCTTCAGCAAACTCACGCCCTCAGTTACTGCTTGTGCGCTACGACGGCTCAGAGTTCCACCTCGTGACCAGTGATGGGTCATACTCGAGAGTGAGTACCATAACTGAGTGTGAAGATGTGTCTTACGTGTCGTCGCCCTATATTCCGTCATGTCTTCGCTCTAGCACAAGCTACTTGGTTGAGCCAACCAGCAATAAGTTACGTGCAACCGAGTCTGCACGTGGCTATAATATGATGACTAAGGAGGCGAAGCAGAGTATTGTACTCTCACAGGTACACGCGCTAGTCGGGGAATGGTTACCTTTCGGTGCTAACCAAATATCGGCATTAAATGAACGATTGGGCGCAATGGAGCGCTGTCAAGGAGGACTATTTAGTTCCAAACTGGACTTGCAGCCTACAGAGACGCACTTTGAAGTGACCCCGGGCCTCACACAAGTCAAGATCTTGGACTTTGATGCCATCCGCTTCATCAACTTTGAGGCTGAAATCAACTTCCCCGAGAGCGATGGTGTCATCCAAGTTGAAAACTTTGGTATGCATCTACACGTGAGTGGCGCTGTCCTCTACGGAGTCAAAATCGACGCTATCATGAACCACACAGAGCGCGCTATCCCTTTCGACCTATTGGCGCGGTTGCTGGTAGATGTTCATCAAGATTCGTCGGGTATCATCCACGACCTGCTCTCTCGCTACCAGCTCAGTGTACTCGACATGCTGTTTATGGGTAAAGCCGACCAACGCAACAAATACAACCTCATTACGGCTGCATCCATGGATCCCAAGTTGCCAGCCTGCAAATATCTGGATAAAGGTGAGCGTGAGAACGAGTTAAAGCAAGTGTTGGGTGAGATCTACGCTTGCTACGATATCACTCGAGACGACGTTCTTTTCCTCGGACGGGATGGATGTCTTCTCTGTGGCCCTGGAGCTGAGCGATACGAGGCGCTTCTTACGACGTTCATGGGTCTTAACAGTCGAGAGATCTTCATCCGAAACTTCTTCGTGCGCACATTTGTGCTGAGCGATATGCTTGTAGAGCTACGCACATCAATCCGCAACTACCGTAAGCATGGCGAGCACTCTCTGAAGGCGGTGAAAAAGTCCTTAAGCGACGCAGCACGACACATGATTCTACTCATTGAGTGTCTTCAGTATCTGCTAGAGTCCGTGGAGGCTCTGGAATTGCCACCTGTACCCGTCGACATCGCCGGCTCCAAGATTTACAAGTGTCTGCAGCTCTTGGAACGTAAAAATAGCGTCATTGTGCGATGCAAGGATTCCATCAAGCTCATCGAGCGTCTCCGTACACAACTCGACACGCTGATCACTAAGTTCGAAGGCATCTCACGACTCCAATTGACACACGTATCGCAAGGGTTTGATATCAACATTCGACGCCTCACCGAGTCTTTGCGTGTCCGTGATGAGCTGGAGCGCAACTTGGACATCATTCGCATGATCTTCGTTGGTAATTTGTCTTTCGATGTCATTGATCGAGTCAGTGGAGGGACGTTCAACGTGCCCAACCCCAAGTGGTTCATCGACTGGATCAAGAAGCCGATCATCGATGCTCCACTCGCATTCCTAGTGGTTAATCTGCTCTGGTTTGCTATTATCTGGATGGCACTACAAGCGTGGTTAGACCACCGAGTCTTTCGGAATGGCGCGACGCTCGTGATCCGAGCCCACACCGACAAACGCATCAACCTCACACAGTTGCGTCGAATGCTGAAAAAGCGGAACGTTCGTCTCGGTGTGTTCGAGTATGAATCGGGTGGTCGACCTGAACTGCAGAGCTACAAGTGGGAGGAGCATGGGTTCCCGTCCAAGGACTCGGCGACGCATGTACAGATCGTGGTGGACGAGAACCAGAAGCTGCTGCGCTCCATTCGCCTGCAGATCGCGTGTCCGCTGGACGAGTCGGTGCCTATCCATTCGCGCCGCCTCAGTATGCGAAATACCCAGGGCCCAAATATGGCACGACGACCGTCGCGGCGGCTGCATCCAGCGCCGTCCTCGGTCACAGCTGTGGAAAATAACATCCTCGAGCAGTTCTCGTCGATTCTGCGGGCAGAAGGAGTGTACCAGGAACGCCACGCTCCACTCGCACGACTCGGCAGTCAGATTAACCTACTGGCTCTTGCTCAAGACTTCGCCGAGCACGACTACAATCGAGACGTCAGCCGGACGCGACGTCGTCGCGGAGCTGTGGACACTGCCGTTGTCTCCACCGACGACTGACCAACTTGATGCAGCCATTTTTCGGTGGTCGATCGACATAGACAAGCCATATTTCGCTCATATTGAATAAAACATGTTTCAAACAAATTGTCGTTATTCTCGAATTACGTTAGGCTTCTAGCGACGCTTCATTTAAGCGCTTCCGCCCATGTGCCCCAGCGACGCTAACAGCAGCTCCACGCCCCCATCGCTGTCTCCCGATGGTGGATGGTGTCCAGAATTCTACCCCACGCGCACCGAGTTCCAGTCATTCGCCACGTACATCCGCACCGTGGTCGAACCGCAATGCGCCAATATCGGCATTTGTAAGGTAAAAGCATGAATAAAAACAACGAATGCTGCAGAAAGGCGAATTTTGCGCTCAGTTGCCGTTATTTTCTGATCTGATTTTCTGATTATGTTCTCTGGTTGTGTATCTTTGGTAGGTCATCCCTCCCCGTGGCTGGTTCACTCGCTCGTATGACATTTCGCAATTGGATTGCCAAGTTAGAGCCCCTGTATGCCAGCACGTGGCTGGTAAGAAGGGCATCTTCAATGTGGATCTCGTGGAGAGGAAGACTATGAGCCCTGTTGAGTTTCAGGCCATGACTGATGCTGCTACGGATAAGGAACCGGAAGGTAGCAACTAGTTGCCAGCTGGAATCTACAGATTTCCTGTACAAGGCACTAACTCGTCATTGCTGTTTTTGATGCAGATACTGAAGACCCATTAGAGGTGGAGCGACGGTTTTGGAAGGGGTTGAGGGGAACGATGGACCCGCCCACCTATGGAGCAGATATTGTGGTGAGTACTTGTTTATTTGAGAACTTTACAGGACAATTTGTTGTTGTACTGAGTTTTTAACGGATGTTTGCAATCAGTCCACGCTATTTGGCGACGCAGATGCACTGTCGTGGAATCTGAACGACCTCAACACGATACTTCGGAAGATTGATTTGCCAGGGGTGACGCAGTCCATGCTATATTTCGGCATGTGGAGGGCAATGTTCGCGTTCCACACGGTATGTATTACGGGCAATGTATCTTTGAGCGGCAACGTGCTGATATTTTAATGCTATGCAGGAAGATATGGACCTATACAGCATCAACTACGTGCACACGGGAAAACCTAAGTTTTGGTATGGTGTTCCTCCTGATGCTGGTACGAACAGAATGCTGTGCTGGGTTATAAAAGGTTTGGCCCAAAAGGTTGGTGGAAACTGAAAAACCCCCCAACCGGAAACAACCGCCCAAGCCAAGGTTCCCGAAAAACAACAACAAAGGCAACAAGGAAAAACCCTTTAACAATTTCAACGCCCCTTTTTTAGAAGACTTAATTGTGACGTGGTTTTGTTGTATCGACACACAACCCGTTTGAACAGTTCCTACGACACAAAACATCCCTGATCTCACCAGCGCGACTGAAGGAGTTTGGAGTTCCATTCTATCGAGCCTTCCAGAAGCCAGGAGAGTTTATCATCACATTCCCGGCAACATACCACCAGGGATTCAATCTCGGTATGATTAATCTCCTGTCGTTCTGTTACGAATTGTGTGGACTCTGACAGAATCTGTGTTTAGGTTTTAACATTGCCGAAGCTGTCAACTTCGCAACCCTGCATTGGATTCCGTATGGATTGAAAGCCAAGGTAAGGCAGACAAGTTATCTGGTACCCTTTCATTAGTATTAATCCCTAACGCTCCTCTTAATGCTACTAGATCTGCAAGTGTCTTCCCGACAGTGTGCGGATTGACATGGACTCGTTCCTAACGAAGATCTTTGAAGAACCCCAGTGCGGCCCAGAACTCATGGGCGATGATCCTTGGATTTTCAGCTGCACCTGTGGCAAATACTGCAGTAGTAATAACCATCATACCGAAGTGGAGGTAATTATTTTTCACCTTTTACGTTCTTGGTTGATTACTAACGTGGTTGGTTTGATAGGAACAATGGTTTGAATGCTCAAGATGCAAGATTTGGGCCCACGTTCGCTGCGTTCACTCTGATCTGGCTGATACAGTGGCTGAAGACCTACCTCATTCACTACTTTGCCACCGCTGTCTTGCTGCCGGGGATAGACCTTGCTCTTTGTCCAGTGGCGGTGTGGGACGACGAAGTGGCACTGCATCGAAGAGTGCGGTACGGAGCAGTGGGGGTAAGCGGAAGAAGGAAGCTGTGGTAAGTTCAAAGAAGAAAGCAGCGAAGGAGCCGGCCATCGTGATGTCACCTCCGAAGAAAGCAAAAGGTGCCTCAAAGTCCAACGAAGTAGGCGCTATCACGCCCAAGAGCGCAACAAAAGACAAGGCTGCTGTCCGCAAGTACCTCACAGTAAAAGGCTCGACTATCCGATTCGAGAACATGGAGGTTCGTCATAAGGATCAATTGCTCCTATTGTAGTGTCTGGGAGGCAAGCTAACGAATACGATATTGCTCGTGACGCTGTACAGGCCAAGGTTGCAGCCGTGGAGGGCACGTACATTCGAGTACACTACAAGGTAGGAAATCTATTAATACTTGTACAACGAGAGCATGCTTTGCTGACATGGTGTTCTGTTGTCATTCGGTAGGGCGAATCTGCAGACAACGACGAGTGGTTGTCTATAACTTCGAAGGAGTTGCGCCAGCGGATCGTAGCTGTGGAGCCGCCAGCGCCGAAGTCAAAAGACTCGACCACTACTATTTAGCTTACGTACTTCGAAGTAGATTACATGTGCAGCAGGGGACGATGAATATACTGTACAAGTTGAAGCAGTTGCAATCTGCAAACTAAATCTTACAACGCTACTATCTTTCCGCTACGTTTCACTTGATAAAAATAAGAGTTTATCAGAACACACTTCCATCCAAATGGCACATCCAGGTAAGGGTGTGTCCGTGGGCGAGTACGACCCGGTGACAGGGCTCACGCACATCACGCAGCAATGTGGGCGTCTGTTGTTCAACATGGGTGCTAGTGTCAAAAAGCAACAGCGTCGAGATCCTCCACCAGCCAACGCTCTTGCCAAGACGACGGCTCCGCCAACATCAACCGGCAAGTTCACGGGGCTATCGCTCTACCCTGAGGAGGCCAACTACCTACTACAGCGAGGGGCCTTGGTGGTCTACCTCATGCCTCAAGCAGGCGAAGAAGCCCAAGCGTTGAGCGTCGCTGGATTCACTGCTATGCTATTCAAGGATACGCGAGTTTCGCTCGCGTGTATGGAAGTGTACGCATTCCTGAAAGACCAGAAGCTGCATCCGCGCCGTTGCCTCGAGACAATGACGGCGTCGAGTTCTGATGATGGCCGAAGTGTACCTCGACATTTGACGGAAGGAGAGCATTGCGATGTTGCGTTTGATGTCTGGAAAACCGTGAGAGTCGGCGTCGAAACGAGTAAAACCGATGATACAATAGAGTTGTCGTTGGCGAAGCCGAAAGCGCAAAAAACGAAGAAATTGGCGCTTGTGTTTCGCGTTGCAGTGTGTCGCTTTGGAGACGCGCCACCCAACCCGCGAAATCTACGCCGAGTCGTTGAAAACAGCAAAGCTCGCGATTTGGAAAGCGGGGACGATTGCGCAGGGGCTGATTGCAGACCACAGTTGACCTGCAGCCAAATTCCGGTGAAACTAGCGGTCGTCCACCATGACCAGAGCGTGCTGCTCTTCGAAATCAACACAACCCCATTTATACTGCCCTAACTCCGTTTAGAAACTTCAACTTGACCAAATTCAGGCTGAGATTAAAAAAAAAAATGTTTTGATGTTTGAATAATAATAATAATAGGACACTTCTCAAGAAGGGCACCAGCTACAGCTCGAATGCCCAACATAACAGGAAGTTGGGTGGTAGGGGGATCTCAAAAAATGGGGACAAGAAACTACGGACGGACGGACAAATGGGACGGCGCTCTACGAGGAAGCTGCAGCACTTGTGACCACCACGACGTCGCCCTTCCCATTTCATGCCTTGTCGTTCGGGGCGAAGTAGCTCGACAGGAATTTTTCTGGGTCCAACACAAAGTCGTCATCGGCATCGTCAAGACTTAAGTCGCCAGCAAAATTATCCCCACCCAGAGCGGCCGTGTCAAGCTCCGACAAGGGTGCGGCGTTCGTCGTCTCGACGGCTTCAGACTTGACCACACTAGCCTTCTCCTCCGTGGTCGAGAACCAATCAAGCTCCTCCTCAGTGAGCTCCAGCAGGTCGTCGTTATCGATAGACGCGAGAGTCTGGTCCACGCAGTCTAACGAGTAGTCGGTCAAGGCCTTGTCTTCAGCGAAGTCGAGGATCATTGCTTCAGCTGCAGCGTCAGCAAAGTCCAGAGGCAGCTGGTGCGGCGGCTGCATAACGGTGTGGCTCTTCATGTTGCGGGCGAACATGAAACGGGTGTCCATCGGGTTGGCGAAGAAGACCTTGTTACCCGAGAGCGACGGCATCTTCTGCTTGGGGGACATTTGACCAGCTAGAGGCTGCTCGCGCGCAAGACGCTTGGGTACGCTGGGGAGCACAGACGCGTCGCTATCGGTGTCCGTGTCCATGTCGAGCATGGAGCACTTGCGCTTGCGCATGAGATGCATCTTCTTCTTCTGCGAGGCGGGACTGGTGGGGATTGAGGAGGGCGTAGCACCAGATGCAATGGCTGCACGGTCCTGAGCTTCGCGCTCTTTAAGACGCGCCTCCTCCTTCTCCAGCTTCTGGTAGTATTTCTGCGCGTGGGTGCGGATCTGTACGACGGTACGCGTCTTGATGAGCGTCGCGATCTTCTTCCAGGCTCGGTAGGGGAAGGTTTCAAGACCCTGTAAGAAGAGCTTGTGCTCGGCTTCAGTCCAGCGACCGGTGTTGCCCTTGATGGGCTTCGAGGCCGATCCGGAGGAGCGCGACACGTCCTCGGTGTCATCGTCTTCATCGTCAGAAGCATCATCGCTCGAGGCTGAAGACGGGATGCACACGCGGTGGCTGGTAAATGCGTTGGTCACAGGGCTGGACTGCCCCTTGGAGGCCTGTGCTGAGGTTGCAGCAGCCAGCTTGGCGGCGGGATCGCGCGGGGACACGGTGGCGGTGAAGAGCGGTGCGTCGTTGCCCAGTGGGGTCATGGGCGCGTTGCCGCTGCAGGAGAGGAAAGCGTCGTCCACGTGCTGCAGCGACAGTAGCTTGGGGTGGGATCGTGCACTCTTGAGCACAGCGGCGGAGGCCATAGTGAACGATGCGTTGAAGAGAGAAGGGGGAAGGGGGCTTCGGTTGTTCTAGAAGGATGACGATGCACGCTCGCGAGAGTGATGGTATAGCGCACACACAAAAGATACACGGGGGGGGACGACAAGACGGCAACGATCGCCAAGTGGGCAGCAGGAAGGCGGGCGCTTGGGAACGCGGCGCCACAGAGAAGGAGACTTAGTGTTGAGGGGGGAGCGCACTTGCACAGCTGCAGGCGAAAGCTCAAATGAGCAGGCGTTGCAATCTTTCCTTTTTTTTCTGCCGACTCATGGCGGCGCCCCCTTGGGTCTAGCGGCCGCTCCTGCGAGGTACGCCAGGCGGCCAATGGCGGCGTTAGTTGAAGCTTTTAGCCAATCGCCACGCTTCATGCGACGGAGAGCATTCTTCCATGGTTCTCTGGCGGGTCGACCCGTCGACGTTGAAGCTGCTTACAAAGTGTCAGTCATTTGATGGAAGCCAACAGAACTACAAGGGCCCGGCCCGCCAGTCATAGACAAGCAAGCACACATGCAATGCCACAGTTACTCGGCGGTTTGCCGCTGTTATCAAAACTCAGCGGGACAACGTTACCCCCGGATAGGCCGCAATGTTCGAAGCGAAGCGCGACGCAGGGGCGGGACTCAGCGGACAGCGGTAACCGTTGGCATGCGCGAGTTTTGAATCTCCTCCGCCGCCGCCTGCCCAAGCAGTAGCCAAGCATAGGGATAGCCGAGCGCTGCCATCTGCTGGCGCCCATGGCCATCATGGCGTGTGGGTGTGGGGCGGGCATTCGCCGCCGGATACTGCGGCGTTGAAGTGAGCTGCAAATTTGACCTGCACAAAGACTAGACAGGGTTCGTGGAAACTTCTGCCACGATGAAAAACTTCGGCCCACGTAAATCAGCCGTGGAGAGCAGTGATTGGCCGCCACTTCAACGGCCGCACACTCTGTGACTGTACGAGCTCATTTTGCCGGTGATCGCGTGTATTTCCCCGCGTTGCTTGGCCACCATCGCATATTGCTCCGTCATGTGCCAAGGGATTAAACCGTATCACAATGGCCACCATTTCCGTCTCCTTGGTTCCACCAAGCTGGTCAAGTCGGGGCCGCGATGCACTTCAACGTCCCGATGCGCAGGAGACTGTTCTTGTTGCACCATGAAGGGGCGCAGAGCTCAAATGAGTGGTCAGCACGGCCTGCAGGGAGACGCGTTCGAACGTGGTCGTCAAACGCTGGTTGATGCGCCTAATGCTAATGCGGCGGGCTCACTTGCAGGAATCAGTTGTAGCTTGCGAGCGCAGCTTTCTAAATAGCGGTTTGGACCAACTTGGAGGCTATTCCGGCGGAAGTTCCGCGCCCTACCCGATCTCCCAGCTAATTTGCCCCTAGTACGGCGAAGGGGTGCGAGCTTCGAGGGTCTCTTTGCAGGGAGGACCATGCTCGTCACGGCGCCAATCTCGCCGGCAATTCTCGCTGACGAGTGCGGGCAGACGGCAGCTGAGGGCGGAAGAAGAGCCTTGCAGCGCTCGGCAGTCTCCGATCTCACTCTATCAAATTACTACAATCAAATAACTGCGTTCGTCCAGCATTGCGCGCGAAGAGGCACGCTGCGGGCAAAAGATACTTATTCAGTTACAGTTGGCGGGTTCGAAAGAAAATGCGGCGAACGAAACGGTGTGCAACGGTGCTTGAAGTTGCTTTGGCGCGTGTCCGTTGGTGCATTTGAATGAACGAATGGCGGGCAAAGCACGACGGAGGCCATGCAGTCAATGCTGCTCCGTAGCCACGATTCCTACGCCGTCACTACGCTGAGGTGACGCCCAAACTGCTAGGTTATCGCCGTCACGGGCGCAGCTACTGCTCGGGCTGGATGTGTGCAATATCCCAAGGGCCGAGAATCTCACTGCAACACAAAAAGAACGAGTGATTTTCGTGCGTCAGTCGAGGGATGCGCATCACCATGGCAGAAAAAAATATTTGACGGAAAGACGTACTTCTTGGACTCCTGCACGTGCATGAACCAGAGCGGGCACACGAAGGCCAGGAAGAGAACGAAGGCACCTGCTAGCACACTCAGCAGGCCAGAGAGCTGCCAAGTCAGTGTCGACGAGAGTGCAAACAGCGCAACTGCCGTTATGAGGTGCAGCCGCTCCGAGTGGCGCTGCAGCATGTAGACGAATGCAGCAGGTTAGATATTCAGCAAAGGCACCATGCGTCCAATGCCACGCACCTTGACCTCGCGCTGGAAAATGGGGAACATGGCGAAGATCTCGATAGCCAGTAGCACAAACGCGAATACGTGCTCATTCGACTGCAGTCTCGAACCTAGCAGTACCGCTGTGAAGATGGCGGCGTTCAGTGAGATGGTGCCGCTGAAGCTGGAACACACAATAAAAGTAAACACGGAGCACTCTTTAGTGGGACGATAGTGGGTCTCGCTGCGTACTGCGGTCTTCCTTACCGACCGATGCCCGAGTTGACATAGTTGTAGTCGTGCGTTATGAGGTGTAGCAGCCCCAGAAACGTTACCAATGCCCAAATCGTGTCGTCCGCGTACGACTTCGTGAGTGTCCGCAGTACGGGCGACAGCAGTGACAGCGTGGCGCAGAAGAGCAGGCACGAGCTCAGTGTGTCCACTGCGTCTACCAAATCAACGAAGAGCTACATTTAGCTAAAAAGCGTTGCAGCACTTGCCAGCATACTCACGCAGGGGTAGACCGAGGTAGATACGAAGTACAGCAAAGCCAACTACTGCCAGGAACACGTCAATACCGCCCAGCAGCACAGCGGAGACTGCATCTTGACGGACGAACTCGAAAACTGACTGCCAATGTTAACAGTGCCAGACAGTGTAGTCCTCCGTAAGAAGTCAATTCAGTTGCTACCCTCTCGATCGCTTTAGATACGCACGAAAAAGATCAAGACGGCGCATATCTGCTGTGTGATGGCTGCGGCTGAGCGAACCATGCCCCCGTAGTCGTGCTCTTGCACGTTAGCTGCAAAGGTAGAACGAAAGTGAATACAACGTCGCCCTAAGGCTCCTACTCTTTCAGTCAAAGTGAGCTCACCGTTCGTCCGCATTTGCTCCAGGAACGTCTCATCGACGTAGTTGTCCTCGTAAGGCTGCGGCGCGTAGAGGGTCTTTTTCCATTTGGGCTGTGCATGCAGGCAGCAGGGAGTAAGCCGTCTAGCACAGCGCAGCACAGCAAGGTCTGCTCACCTTTGTCGCCGCCATCTTGTGTAGCTGGAAGTGGCGCCGCTAATTGGTCGAAAATAAGGTGATCGTCAAAGTTGCATTTCGAAGTGGAGTGCCTGCGATGGTGTCGACGCTGATTCAGCACTGTCGATTCCACACCTGAAATTTGCCAGTGCTACGTAGCGCTACACATCTGCGATCCAACGGCGCGTTCGTTGTCACATTTGCTACTGTAGATAGATCTACTGATGGCGGGGGTTTCGACTAGCTTGACAAGCTGCTGTCACGAGTTGACGTACAAACCCCAACACGGGCTGTACAGGGTGCTCCACTGCTGGCCACTACATGTACCGGTGATCCAACAGCGAGGAGTGGTGAACTATAATTCCGCCTAGAATCGGAGTAAGTGGGATTTTTTTTAAACCATGCCAAATGAGTTTTTAGTGAAATACGAGGATTGGTTAATAATAAAATTTCACGTTTATGATTGGCTGGGCGGGGACCGGCCCCCTAATTAGTCACCCTAAAGTAGTGAGTTTCTAAAAAGACGGCCATTCCACCTCCGTCATAAATTGAAACCCATGGATCACTAGACCCAATAGGCAGCCCTACTTGTCAGGTAGGGCGTTAGTTTCCTTACTCATTGAGTTTAAGCCAAAACCTACTTGCCGTGTCTGCCGCTCTCCTATATTTCGTATTGTTCCTCACGTACAACAGCCACACCAATAAAGAAAATGGTAGGCTAACGACATCTTCAGAAAAAAAAGGCAAGTTGAAGTGCATGAGTCATCATTAATGGTAAAGCTAAGCGTGCACAGCTACTCAGTAGCTCATCTTCTGCGGAGCTGAGCACCACGGACAGTTGCCGAACTGCTTGACCCACTTGTTCCACGTCTCGCGGTCAGCTATGACCTTGCAGGTGGCGCAATGCACTGTCGTCTTGGCGGCCACAGGGAAGCCCGTGACGATGCACGACTCAGACGCCGTCTTACACTCCGGACACTGCAGTGCCGCCTCGTAGATGCTAGCTTTACAATGCAGACACGCACGCTCGGGCAGCTTCTCGGCCACTTGCTGGTCCATAGAGATCGTCAACACCCAGTCGCGGATCTCCTCACGGGCGCTCTCTTCAGCAAGATAGTGCACTTCCGGTAGTGCAAAGTCCAGTGGCGATGGGATATCAGTGCCAACGAAGTCAGTGTTATCCAGGTTGCTAGCGTCGCCATCATCAATAGCCTCGCATAGATCAAGGTATCGATTAAAGTACACGAAGGCGGCACTGAGCCATTTTTTCTTCCTCGCAGCCGCTCCAGCAAGGTAAAACATCTTGTCCGCAGGGAGGACAGACACAAACCTCAGTAGCGACATACTGATCTTGGCTACCAGGTCATCCAGGCCAGCGTTCGCTGCCTGGTGCTTGATAGCGAAAAAGTGCGTCACTAGTAGCCACTGCTCGATCTTCTGTACTCGAGAACTGGGGAACTCCTTGCTATTCGCACGCAGATCCTTCACAAGCTTGCGCAGACACTTGACGAGCTCTGGCAGCGCTGCCTGGTGTTCAGGATCCTCTTCAACTGTATAACCGCATGCAAGCGTCTTCTGAACGAGTCTCTCCGTCATATCCAGCGCATCCGAGTCGAGTGGGATGCCATAGTCAGATATCGTCTTGATCGCTGTAGACATCTCGTCGTGTTCACACAGTCGCGAGCATCGCAGTACCAAGTACTTGGCGAGTGATCCAGCACTGTGTTTGGCTGCTGAAGACAGCACTTTGTCCCATTCTCCACGCTGCATCCACGCGTCAAGAGCACTCGTACCGCGTCCAGCGTCGTCACCTTCAGAGCTGAGTTTCGACTCCTTCTTCTCGGACCCGTACTGCACTTTGGTATCGGCTGATGGAGTGTACGAGCTTGTAGCCATCTTGGCCTCAACGTGGTGGGAAGCTGATCCAAAGGCACTGGCCTGTTGCGCTCGCTCGAGACGAGGTAGCAACTCAGGGGCATGCTGCTCGCACAGTTTCTGCGCTGCAGTCCAGTTATTCACGCGTAGATAGCAGTCCAGAGCCTCATTCATCTTGTCAATAGACTGGAAATGCTGTGCTGCGGCATCGAAGCAAGACATTCCAAGAAGTCGTGACGCCACCTCCTCCACGATCGATTTGTAGCGACTCGGGTCGTGCTTGGCACAAAGCTCAATGGCCTTCGCCCACAGCTCTTCAAGCTCTCCAAGGTCGCTGATCTGGTCGATAGAAATCGACAGATACGCGTCGATTGCTTGGACGTACTGCTGAGAAGCCACCCACATCTCACAAGCCTCCATGAGCTCTTCTTTCTTCTTCGGTCCTCCAGAGAAGATAGCACGTTGGTGAGCCATATTCACCTCCATGAGCTTGTGAGGGAGATGGCGTTTAGCAATACGCACTGCGTCAGCCCACATCGCAGCCTCCAGATACGCAGCAAGAGCCAGTTCCGGTTTTCCGGCGCTTAGGAAGAAGCCTTCAGCACGCTGGTGTTCCTTGCGTTCAATCCAGAGCCGTGCTTGAGCGATAAACACATCAGCCACAGACGCCGGATCCGCACTTTCCGCGACGCGCATGGCGTTTTGCCAGTCCTGTTGGTGTACGTACATATCCAGTGCTTCACGGGGTTTTCCTGCCTTGATGAACTCTTCCTCGGCTTCCTTGAATCGCTCCTCGTCTTCCAAGAACAACGCATGTTTAAGATGCACCTCTGGCAGCTTCTTGGTGGCACAATTGCGTGCAAGCTCGAAGGCGTGCTCGAAGGCTCCACTTTCAATAGCATAGTCGATTGCTGGTTCGATGAGTCCAAGTCGAGTGAGAAGTTTCGCACCTTGTTCGCCACCCAGATCCATCGCCCACGCATAAGCCACGCGCTTCGAGGCATTGATACCGCCGTGGAATTTAGCAACACGGATAGCTTCGTCCCACATGTCGTTCGTCCGGTACATATTGACTGCAGCCTGCCACTCTCCAGCCTCGGCAAAGTGGTGTTCTGCTTCCTTGTAGTTGCCTTCGTGCTCCAGCTGTTGAGCCAAGTACAGATGAGTATCTTTGAGTAGATCCTTGCGGTATTTGGTCACGAGTCGGATCATTTGCTCGTAGTTTTTGTGGTTCTTGTACATATTGATAGCGAGATCGGGCTCATTGACAGTCAGGAAGAGCTTTTCAGCCTCTTTGAACTTACCAGCACGCTCCATGCGGTGTGCTTGCTCTACGTAGAGCCTCTCGGTCTCGTACTTGTCCAAATGGTTGAGTGCAACCTGGTACGCCGCATCCCATTTGTTGGCTCGAGTGTACATCTCGACGGCGTCACGAGCAGCATCAGCCTTGATGAAGCATCGCTCGGCTTGCTCTAGATTGCCAGCGTCCTGATAGTGGCGAGCAAGCCGACGGTAGTATGGTAGAGACACATCGTCCTCCAGTGTCTCCACTAGCTGACTGGCCTTGGCCCACTGCCGTGAGTTAAGTGCAGCCTCGACTGCCTTGGTCGGCACGTTGCCTTCGATATAGTGGTTGATAGCCATGTCCATTTGCTTTTGCGAGACGAGATAGTCACCCCACGCCTCCTCCAGACGCAACACCTTGTCCGGGAAGTGCTTCCTCGAGAGCTCAACCGCTTTACGGAAGGCGTTAGCCTTGATAAACGCAGCAAGGGCACGACTCTCCTGCTCCATTTTCTCGAATTGGTCACCTGCCTTCTCAAACAATCCAGCCGAGTACAATGCGTCGGCTACAGTCTCCATAAGCTGCTTGTGGTCGCGACCAAGGTTTCTCTGGTTCAATAACTGCGCAGCTTTTGCTGGTAAACCACCTTTGAGATAGAGACTCACTGCACCAGCGTAGTCGCCGTCCTTGACCTTGACTGCAGCAGCCTTCTCCTCTTGACGGGACTCTACTAGGTAATCATAGTAGCTTCTCTTCATCTGCTCACATCCGGAATGGTTCTTCGCCTCAGCAACGCGGATAGCATCTTCCCATTTGTGTAAGTGCTGGTACATCTCAATAGCTTCGTCAACTTGACCCTGTGCAAGGAGCAAATGCTCAGCACTACGGTAGTCATTCTTGAGCACTGCAAGACGAGCGCGAACTTTCCAGTGAGCAAGCCCGTTGAGACGATCTTTCTCCTGCCAGTCCAGCTTGTTCAGCTTTCTCAAATATCTCGAACGAGCGACGTCTCCAAGAGCAGCAGCACAGCGTTCAGCAATGCGATGATCGTTCTGTGTCAACGCTTCCTGACTCAATTGACTCCACATAGCCTCAGTCTCGGGTGTAAGCTCCAATGGCTCAAGAATGGACATCGCATTCACGAGTTGTCCGTCATCCACAGCAGCACCGAATGCGATCAATGACTCGTCTAGCTGATAGGACGCCGTGTTCATTCCTTCGTCCACGATCACCTCTGTACGTCCATTGCCACGTTCGATCTGCTCGACGTCACCTTTGATCTGATAGATTGTGGCCTTGTCTGGTGCACGGATATTGTACCAGACACACAAGTTGCCTCGATTCTGCGCTACAACCACGTCCGATTCAGGCACCCACTGCACGTAGTTGCAGTAGTTGAGTAGTGTACTGCGCTTTTGCGTGTCAAGATCAAACAGGTGAAGCTGGCGGCGTTTATCGCGGAACAAGAGCAAATTTCCACGGGAATTGAGCTCCAGCCAGTCCACTCGAGAATCGTGATTGACTGTGGAGGCGCCACGGGCGTGGAGATCGGTGATACAGATCGTTTGCAAGTCTAGAAGATACGCGATTTTCTTGTTCTCTTGAGGTGGACTCGAGTCACCGCCGTCTTGAGGCATTGGGGGTGGAGGACGCTCATTGATACGCACACTCAGCAAGTGGGTGTTAAGGTGTTCTGTCCTCACTGATCCCAAGAGCTCGTTTTGTCCGTATTCGATCAGAGACAGCTCACCGGCTTGGTATACGATACATACGCTTTCGTTATCCAGCATGTACTTCTCAGCACCAGTGGACTGCCACTGCACCTCACTAATACGTGCAGTGTCAAGGTCGCCAACCAGGAGAGTGTTGGTTGTGTTACCGACGAGGAATCGGTCTTGGAACACGTTCAGCTTGGTGATTTCACAGCCAAAAAGCAGAGCGTACAACAACTCGCGCTCCAGTAGCGAGACGTTTGACGATCACTTGACTCAATGATACGTACGTGAACTCGAACTTGCCCTTGTAACGGTAGCGACGTACACAGGCGTCGTACAAATCCAACGCTCCACACACAGAACCAACAGCTAGACGGCTACCGTCGTGCTTCCACGCTAACGCTGTGACCGAGTACAGATTGGGGATACTCTTCGAACCCACGAGCTCCCAGGACTGGGTTTTGTGCTGGAAGTTAAATGTGTAGAACGAGTCGAAGTTACCCACAACTACCGACTCGCCTGTCGGGTTAAACACACTGCACGTGAACTCACCGCATTTTTCATCACCTGAGTAGTCGAAAGTGCGCAACTGGGCGCCATCCTTATCGTAGAATGAAACCCGACGATCGTTACCCGCTGCGACGATACTCTCACCCCACGAGAGAGCGTATGGGACGCATGAGTGGACCACAAGTTTAGCGTGTGTAGGGCCACCTGTCACGTCGTCGAAAATGAAGCGGTAGATCGCTCCATCATAATGTGCCGAAAGGATGGCGGTGCCCTCCGGATTGCTACACACACGGGACACGTAGGACCCAGTAGCGTACAGCGTGGCCGGTTTGTTGCTACGCAATTGCCCGACCTTCACCTTGCCGTCTGCCAGGCCGAATACGATCTCGTTCGGGTGTGTGCTGGGCCACGTAAGACTCGTCACGGAGCATGGCTGCGGGAATTTGTTGCAGATACTCTTCTTATCCTATTTGCATGTTATCGTCGAGGAGAGTCAGCTTATTTTAACGACATAGAATAAGTGAACGCATGCTCTTCTTACCCCAAATTCTAGGCCGATTTTATAGACAAAGACTATATTATCGCTTTGTGCCACCGCGAGCTTGGACGAGTCCGGCGAAAACTCGAGTGCACGCACGATGTAGTTCTTATCGCCCTTGTCCGCGGGTTTGGTGGAGAATTTGTCCTTGCGCTCTCCAGTTTGTCCGTCGAACAAATGCACAACGCGGTCCACCGTAACCACTGCAAGTCTGCGGTTATTCGGCGAGAAGGCAATGGCAGTGACCTTGCACATGCCCTCCGTGGCCTGCAGTAGCGACGTCAAGTGGCGCAGCTGCATCTTGTCGTTGTCGTCTCAACTCGAGCGTCTGAAGTTTGAGACTGAAGTCGCGTCGCGCCTTTTGATCATTGCGATCTTGAAGAGACACATTGAAAACAAACATGGCTTCAGTCACTCTATCGCGGTAATTACCTCATTTCAGTAATATGTAGCCATCCCTTTGGCTGGTCAAAGCGCAATGGACTTGATGGACGTCGAGTTGGAGCAGGCCAAGCGCGAGGCTGCGCTGCTGGCACGTCGCCGCGAGGAGCTGGACACACTCAAGCAGCAGCGCAAGGAGCGTGCAAAGACTTCTGCCTCCGCCAGCTTTAGTGGTAAACAAAAGAAGCAGCAGCTTCGAGCGCGTAAGCAGCGTCTGGCTTCTCGCAGAGACGAGGAGGCGGCGCTGGACATACAGAACGCGCAATATAAAGAGTTCTACGCTGAAAAACCGGCTGCCATCGAGGAGGAGGAGGATGCCGAAGTTGAGGCGTTCCGTACTGAGCCCGACTTCTTCGTACGCAACAATGATCTGGATAATGATCTTAGCTCTCGACTGAAGCTCACGGTGGCGCTGGGCAAGAACAACAAGGACGCGGTAGGCAAGGAGCTATCCAGTTTCTTCGTAAAGGAGACCAAGGAGCAGATCCAGCTGAGACTCATGGAAGGACAGCGTCCCTTAGAATTGGCCAAGAGAGAGACACCATTACTCGCTACTGTGAGCGAACGGGACCCCATTTTGGACCATCCAAAGAGACCCAAGTGGACATACAGCATGTCCAAGGAGAAAGGTTTGTGCTAATGAAGCTAAGTGGCTTTCATTGTGGCTCATGCTGACGGGGTGTGTGTTCTGACAGTGGACAACAACGAGAGTCTCATGTTCGACCAGTGGCTTACGAAGATTCACGACAAATACGACAACGAGCACTTGAACCACTTTGAACACAATCTAGAGGTCTGGCGTGAGTTGTGGCGCGTCACGGAGCGTGCCACGCACGTTGTGGTCGTGGCTGATGTGCGCAACCCGTTACTGCACATTCCTGCGTCGGTGTACGACCTCGTTACCAAGGAGCTGAAGAAACCAATGGTTGTGGTACTCAATAAGGTGGACTTGATCCCGATTGCTGTAGTGCAGCTCTGGAAGCGCTACTTAGCCGGACGATTCCCCCTCGCACAGCTCGTGTGCTTTTCCTCCCGCTCGAACGCTGTATACGGCGATAACGACGTCAGTACTCGTCGACGAGTGCTCAGGTAAAATACTTCTACTGAGTGGCTATTGCTGCGAGCTCAAACATTTTATTAACAGACTTTCTTGACATGTACAGCAAGAAGCTGGAGGTGGGAGACGCATCTGCAATTATGGGCGCTATAGATATCCTCGTGGCTTGTGGGATTGGTGCTACAGAGGCACAGGAACTTGCGGAGGAGTTGAATGCGAGCTTGACGGAACAAGAGAGCTTGCAGGCACAATTCGATGCAGTGCAGGAGAAGAAGAAGGCTGTCGGAAAGCGTCGTAGCAGACGCAAGCAGAAGAACCGTGGTGCTCGCAATGGGAACGCTGGCGACGATGGATCACCCACGATTCATGAGTGTCAGCACTGTGGATGTGACGATGCTGTCGTCGCGTGTATGTCATGCGCGACGGGTGGACGACCAAGCAGCGCTGACGCCAATGTCAAGGACGAAGCAGACGCCATCGCTCGAGGCTACTTGCTGTGCGCCAGATGCGACCGTGAGGAGCATGCGGAACTTAAGGGCCACTTTCAAGTGCGCCTACAGTCGGCATTAGCTGCAGAGTTAACCGATCCATCCGTACCAGGCAGTGCTGGAGCTATTGGTCAGGCCAACACGCCTAAGGTGACCATCGGACTTATTGGACACCCGAACGTGGGCAAATCTAGCGTGTTGAACGCATTGGCAGGCAAGAAGATCGTGAGTGTATCACACACACCGGGACATACCAAGCGACTTCAGACGATCATGATTTCTCCCGAAATCTGCATTTGTGATTGCCCAGGTCTCGTGTTCCCGTTCGCTGGCGTTCCGAAGTATCTTCAGGAGCTCAGTGGACTGTATCCGTACTCGCAGGTAAGGTAGATCAGAGATGATTTGGTATACAGCAGTGGTCTAACTTGTTTTGCTAGATTCGGGAGCCTTACTCAGCTGTCCGCTTTCTCGCAGAGCACGTTGTGCTGGAAAAAATCTTGGACTTGAAGCCTCGTACACAGCTTTTCGACGGTTTAGAGGAGGAATTGGTTCGTAAAACGCAACGCAGATACTGTCCATCATAGCTCTAATCAGCCGTTTACTTATGACCCTCTCGTTGCAGGAATGGACACCGTGGACGCTGTGTGAAGCGTACGCTGAGAAGCGTGGTTACCGCACGGACCGTCGTGGCAGGCCTGATCACCAGCGTGCTGGATCAGAGCTGGTGCGCGACACAGTCGATGGCATTCTGCCACTCTTCTTCCTTCCGCCCGACTACAGTGGCAAGGATATCACGCCAACGAGCATTGCGAAGTATTGCCAGCTGGAGGAAGTTTCACTCAAGAATGAAGAAAGTGACGAGGAGGTGGATAACAGCTCTGACGAAGAGGATCAAGAGGAGGAATCTGCAGCACAACCTGCAAGGAGAAAGAACCAACCATCTGCCCCTGTCAACGCATTCAGTCTGCTCGACTCCGACTCGAGTGACGAAGGCAGCGATGACGAGTAAGGACTAACCAGTTTTTAGCTGCATACACAGCAAGTTTGAAAAAGATAATTTTCTATTCTGCTATTCTGAAAGCTCTTGGCATGCTTCATCCCTCGGCTCTTTACTTGGTGATATAATACAGCCTTGCACGCTCGACATCCTCTACGGGACATTCTTCCAGCTCTGCAGCAGCATCTGCAACATCTTCTGCCGGCAGCTTAACCTCCTCAAATTTGAGGCCCGAGTCTATGATCTGCTTCTGTACGAGGTCGTGGGTTACATCGGCACGAGGAATATGACACAGTACAAACGCTCGCTCGATGTCATCATCCGAAGTCAGCACCCGCGTTACGGTGGCAAAAAGTAGCGGCAACAACTCGCTTTTATACAAAACGTCACCGGCTAGCACAACGTCCACTTCCGTCAGCGCACCTGGGAATTCCTCCAGCAATGTCTGCGCCGATGGTTCATCACCCCAAAACAGCGAGCGAGCAGTCACTACGCCCTCCGCCCCGTTCACCTGAATATTCTTGGTGAGCAATTCCACCACTTCTTCGTCACCATCAGTAGCCAAACATTTGACAGCTCCGAGCTTGGACGACACGATGCTGCAGATGCCAGTACCAGCTCCCAGTTCCAATACACGTTTGCCACGAACGTGCTCAGGGTGGCGCCATAGATACTGCAACACGTCAGTACCATTTAGTACACTCTTTGCAACAAGTATGCAGTGCGAATCTAATAATTGTTTACCCGTGAGAGGAAATGCGAGCCCGTCCAGAGGCGTGTGCCCGAGATCTCCGTCACGTTGGCATCCATCTCGGCCAGCATGAATAGTGATGCAGCCACCGGAAGTTCCTCCATCTGAAATACCTGCACCTCCAGGTCACCCACTACCACGCGCTTCGTCTCATACTCCACGCATGCGCGCCAGTCGGCCTCGTCCGACGAGCAGGAGGCAGCGCGGCGCCGTGAGTCTGTCATTGCTCCAAATAAGCTCTTCCAGTCAAAAAGGTCAAAACGTATACTTAGCAAAGTGTAACAAAAAGGTAACTGTATAAAAAAGGTAACAAAAATGTAACAAAACCCGGGGTACAGTTTGAGGTTACTCTGCTTCTGCTCAAGTTTTAGCGTCGACATACGTTTACTAGTTACTGACTTGGTTTGCTGCCATGTAGAGTTGATATCTTTGCTAACCTGCGTGCATCAGAGACTAAAGTCTAGGACTTGTCACTCGAAATCGCCTCGAGCAGCAAACGCTCGAGCGCGAGGAAAAACTCGTTGGGTGGACGGCGACTTAACACGCCGATTTCGATCTCGCCACGCTGCTCATCGAACTTGTTGGGCTTGAACGTGTATGGGATACCGGAACGCTCGCATGCGCTCTGAATAGCGAGTTCCAGACGCGACGGCTCTTGGAAGCACCCATCGCGTGTCATGAAGTTCCCCATCCAGTGCAGAGTCTTGCCTTGAGTAGCTGCCAGCTTCAAAAAGAGAGTGCAGATCTTAAGTGTGGTCACGCACTCCTCGCGAATCCCAAGCGAGCGCAAGGTCTTGGCATCTCTCTCAGCATCCAGTGCCTCGATATACTGCATGGCCGCAGGCGAGAACGGCTCAAGGGTTTGCGGGTACTCGAGCCAGTCGAAACGCGCTTCGGACAAGTGGAACCAGCTTGGAAGGATGCAGCCGTGGTCGATAGGCACCATGGTATATGGCTTCTTCTCGCCGATCAGTAAAATGTTACCTGGATGTCGATCCGTATTAAACACGCGCACATCCAACAGCGCAATGCGGTGGACTTGTTCTACCGGAACAAACTCGCGAGCTTTGTCGAGGTCAAAGGGCATTCCGAAGCTCTCCATGCTACCGATAGTGCTCGACATAAAGCGTTGGACAGCTCCTTGCTTTGCTCGCCCAACATTCGTAAGCCGAAGCTGTGCCACAGCCGTGGGTGGCACTCCACTGAAGCCATTGCTGCGTGAATCAAGCACGTAAGCTGCCTCCTCACGAACAGCTCCTTCTCCAGCGAAGAGTCCTTCACGCACGAACTTCTCCTCTTCGGCAGGCTTGAAGAGCGCAAGCTTCTGTCCGCTAGATCGAGACTGCACTGCGTACACACCACCTTCACCTTCACCGACAGGGTCAGCCATGCCATCGGCTGTGGAGCTCAACTCTGCTACGTCCCAAAGCATCTTGCGGCGTAGTCCACTTCCAGAGCTCAGCCGACGTAGTCTCAGCTTTGCGATAAAGCCGTCTTTGCCGTGCTGAGCCAGTTCATGAACATCGACATACACGTCATCGGCGACGTTGTTGCTGCTTCCTTTAATAGGAGGCGGACACGAACGCAGTGATTGGCCTTGTTGTGAGTGACCGAGGAGTTTGTACACCGCGACGCTCTTCTCACCAACTTGACAGCCCAACTGCAGACCCTGAGCTACTGCCTGAACCATAAGCTTCTCCTCGTGACTGAAGTAGTCTGGGAACATGGTGATCTGAGCGTCACAATTAGCACAGAACTCGCGAAGTTCCTCGTAGAGCGACGCACGCTTGACGATGTTCAGTGGTGGCTCGGGAAGTGATGACTGCAGTACTTTCAACGACGATGCCGATGTCGTCGCGTGGATAGCACTGCCTTGTGTCAGTTTGAGGACCGAAAGTTCGGGTTTCTTGACCGAGCTGCTGAGATCGAGGAGGTTGTTGTCCTTTGCGGCCGCTTTGCGAGGGCTGATGCTCTTATCTGCTTGGAGTACATGAGTCTCTTTGTCCTGTGGCTGGTCATTCTGCTGCTCCAACGCGAAGACTGTTGTGTCCACGGTGGATTGAATCTCACTAGAACTAACACATGGCTCGTTCTGGTTACTACTACCTCTATGACTCCTTTCTAGAGCTGCAACACGGGCGTTTTTCTTGAGTAACGCGGGACTAGAAGGCCAAATCAGTGCCTGGCGCCAGAGTGAGCGAGGCGGTTCTCGCACTGCTTCTCTCGGACTCATCTGCGCGCGACTGACGAGATGTAATAGATGCCGAGACAGCTTCTTGGGTATCGTGGGGCTACTGTCTTCGTTGCGACT